GTGTCCAGAGATGGACAGGGAGACGCTGCTGGAAGTGGGGAGCTAAGAGCACTGGAGTGGGAATCCCGGCCCGAAGCCCATGTCGGTGCCGGACGGAGGCACGAGGAGATGGGCAGGCCACCTGGCTTGGTGAGGGTGGACCTGTGGGTGGGGCTCCTGTGGGGCCTCCTTGCTCACCCAGCTCGCCGGTGTGGGGACGCAAGGGTCACAGGCAGGGCTGATGTTCTCTGGGTGTATGTGTGGGGAGAGCCTGGGAGGGGGCCGTGTTCTGGGCTGGGCCCCTGCCAGCACACCCCTGCTCCCCCCGGCCCTGCGGCTCTGACTGCTGATTGCAGGGGCCAGGCTGGCTGGCTGGGAGCTGGGCTTGGAGCCGGGTTCCCAGGAAGGCGAGGCCTCCTGGGACCCTGTGTACTGGGGGCTCGATCCACCCTGCTCCATCTCTCTTCCGAGGGCCTCTGGGCTGGCCCGGGCAGGTACGGACGGCATTGACTGTGATGCCAGGCTCCACTCTTGAGGCTCATCATCTGGGGGGGCACTTGCGTCCTTTACATGGTGCTCCCAGGAGGCAAAGCCAGGACCCTGCTGGTGGGGTTAGGCCCAGACCCTGGGGACGGTCCTACCTGGGAGCATCCCAGAGGGCCTCTTGGTGAGGGTGAGCGGGATGTGGAGACAGCTCCCTGGGTGGCCCTGTGCGGGCTCCTGGTCTCAGTGACTCAGTCTCCCCGTCTGCACATAGCAAGGGGTGCGCAGGATGACAGCAGCCTCCCCCAGCTGTGGTGAGGATTCAGTGAGGACCAGCAGTGTCTGGCACACAATAACACACAAGAAGGTGCTCAGGAGTCCTTGGGCGTGAGGCTGGAGAGCTGGGCAGGGGTCTAGCAGGCCAGGTGAGGTGCTGGGCACTCACCCGGTGGGTGTCGGCCTCCCCAACCCACCTGCACAGGGACAGCCCCTTCTCACTGGCAGCCTGGAGAGTTCTTCCTGCAGGCCTTTGCCTGTGCTGAGGTCCCCCCAGCACCCAGCCCTGGGTAGGCCCCCTCCTGCAAGAGGGGACCCTGCAGAGCCCCAGAGGGTGCCGGGGAGGGCGTGCACAGGGTTGATGGGCTCCTGCTCCGACAGGCAGAAGGCAGAAGGCAGGCGCCTGGGCGGCAGGACCCCGCCTCGCCATGGTCTGTCGCCCTCCCCTCTTGCATTTCCCCTTCCTCCTGCTGCTTCCTCTCCCCTGCCCAGCCCTCCGCAGCCCCTTTGTTTGCCTGGGCGCGCTGGCCGGCCTGCAGTTATATTTAGGCGGCAGGTGTGGGAGCCACAAGCCCGGTGGCCAGCCGGGCACCGGCCATCCCGCCCACGTGATGCCCGGTCGCTATAAATAGCTCCTGGGCCACGGGGCCGCCAAGCATCCCAGGGAGGCCGGCGTGCCCTGCGCTCTGGGTCTCCGCCCCGGCCCCCCGCCTGGCCCCGCATTGATGGAGGCGGCGGTGGGACGCCTGTGCATGTGTGCGTGAGCGAGTCGGGGTGAGCTGGGGCCGGTGTGGGCCGGGCGTGTGGGGAGGACCTCAGCCTCAGCCCGGGGAGGGGGCTGCACCCCTGGAACCAGCCCCCATGCGCCTTGGGGCTCACGCAGCACAGGATGTGGTGGCCCCCACCCAAGACCCCACACCAGCTGCTGGGTCCCAGCCCTGCCCACAGTGCTCCTACACCCCTGCTTTACCTCTCCTGGGACCTCAGGGAGCTGTAAACCTCGGCAGCTCCCCAGATCATTGCAGGGGCCTGGGTCAGGAGGGGCTGGCCCTCTCTGAAGCCCTGTGGGTTCAAACAGGCTATGACCAGGAATGCGGGCTGCAGCCTTCCTGAATCTGGATTTCCCCCTTACAAACTGGTGTTGAGTGTTGTCTTTGCCTCCTAGACTTGAGATTGAGGAAACCCACAGAGTCTGTCTGGTCAGGGCCCAGAGAAGGTCCTGCTGTCTCTCCCTGCCTGTTTACTGATCTGCAGACAGGGAGGACTATGGTCCCCTAACGGGGTCTCCAAAGGATGCCTGCTCTGGACACAGCAGGGGGTTCAGTGCCTGCAGGTGGGAGGAGGCTGGCTGGGGTCCCAGGAGCTGGGTTATGGGGCCCTTGGCAGGAAGGCCAGAGGGGACACATCGCGTACAAGTAGGGCTCTTACCTCATGGTGGTGGGCCTGGGGGGTGGTTGCTGGCCATCTTGGGTCACCCCTGCTTCGGGGCCCTGGAGCCTCACTGGCGGGGTGTGGTTGGGAGGAAGGGCCCCTCTCTGGGGGGTGAAGCATCACTGCTTGCTCCCACCTAGGTGTGGGGGCCCAGACTCTGCACAGACAAGTGGGGTGTGTGGCAAGACCCCAACCCACCCTGGGGTTGGGTCAACCTTGGCCCAGACCCCTGACCCCATTCCAGTCTAGATCCTGCTCCCTGTCCCCCCACAGCCAGTCTAACCCCTTACCCCTGCCGATAGGGGTCAACTTCAGGCTCAAGGTGACAGTAATGGGGTCCTTCCTGCCCAGAGCCTTCAGCGCTGAGGACCTGTTCAGGGATACTGCGTAGCAGAGCTAGGCCCTCTGCTGTTGCCCATGGGGTCTCCCCCAGGTGCCCGGCATCTGTGGGCAGTGAGGTGACCGGTCAGTCCTGCAGGGAGAGGTTTGTAGTCCTGTGGCTTCCTTGGACCTTTTTTCTTCTTACTTTCTGGTAAACACACGCATGCACACACACTCTCGGGAGCGTCCTGCTGCCCCAGGAGGGACAGGTGTTTGTGTGGTGCTCAGGGTGCCTGGGGCTGTCTCTTCTCACCTGCCCTCTGAGCTGAAGCTTGCTCTGGGATGGCTCAGGTGTAGGGCTGGCTGAACCAGGACAGGCTTCCTGCCCTCTGCCTCTTCCCCCGTCCTGGGACACTCCCCATTCAGCCCTCCCGGGACCCTGGCACAGGGCAGAGGGCAAGCTGTGGCTCCTGTGCCCTGAGCCCAGGAAGACGGGGGCAGCTGGTCCCTTATTACCTGGGGTCCCAGGCCTTGGGTGCTTCCTGCACCTCGGCTGAGACTCTGCAGGCTCTGCTTGCCTGGTGGGCAGCTGGAGAAGGGGGTGCTGGGGCGGGGGCAAAGGTAAGAGGTGGTGGGTTGGGGGACGGAGGGCCTGGCCGGGTGAGCAGATAAGAGTGCCGTGGGTGGGGTTGGGGCCACGTTCAGCGGCTGGAGGGGTCTGCTGGCCACTGGGTCACAGCTGGAGGGACCACAGGGGCATCGTATATAACTTCTCATTGTGCAGGTGGGGAAACTGAGGCCTCGATTGCCCGAGGTCTCCCAGCCCATCTGTGGGGGTGGGGGTGGGGCTGGGTGCACCTGCTGGGGTCCCTGACCCAGGAACTTTGGGGCCCAGAGAGGGAGAGAGAGGTGTGGAGATGCCTGATGGCTGTCTCAGAGGTCCCGCAGTGTCCCTCCCTGGGGCCATCACAGTGTGACCCAGTCCTGGCCACCTGCACTGTCACGCCTTGGCATGCACCTGGTGGCCGGCTGGTCCTCTGGCCGCTGTGGGCTGCCTCTGCTTCTCTGAGCTCCCCAAGGGCAGAGGCCTGCTTGTTTGCTCCCGTGCCTGGCCAGCCCTGTGGGTGAGTGGTGGAGACAGCAGAGGGGTGGAGGCAGGCGGGAGCCAGAGAGTCCCACGGGGCACCCGTGAGACATGTTTAAGGTGGCTTACAGGCATGAGCGGGGCTGCAGCCCCCTGTCCCCACTGTGCCCCGGCACTTCGGCAGCCGTGCCTGAGCCCCTCTCCCGGAGGACTGGCCGCCCCAGAACGATCTGGGCTCCGAAATTCCACAGAGGCCTGGAATTCCGCAGAGCAGTGTGACTGTCCTTAGCTGGGGGTGGGTGTCTGCTGGTCACAGGCTGCAGAGGGGGGACCAGGCTCGGGGGGCGGGGGCAGGTTTCACAGACTGCCGTGAAATCTACTCATTGGGGTGCAGCGCACTCCTGGGGTGTGTGTCCCTGGAGTCCCTCCCTCAGTTCTTTTTCCCTCCACACTGCTGGCCCTCAGGGCTCTCTGAGACCGCCCTCGTGGGAGCTGTACTTCCTGTGCTCCCAGGTGGGGAAACTGAGGCCTGACGAGGGTCACTCACTCAGCACAGTCCTGTAGCAGGGCCCTAGGGAAGCATCTTCTGTGGCGTGGGGTGGGCAGACTTTCACCCCTCCCCGGAGGCAGGGGCTCCCAGTGACCCCTTGTCTGTTCATTTTCTTTCCGGTCCTCCCGCAGACGTGGCCTGCTGCTGACCAGCCCGGGATTTATGGAGAGGGCCTCGGGGGGCAGCTCTGAATACTACCAGGCCCAACATCACTGCCACGCCTGCTGCTGAGGAGGCCCCCGTGCCTCTGGCCCTCACCATTGCCCTCGCCCGCCGATGGCCCCTGCTGTCTGGCCCCGGGCCGGCTCTGCCGCCTGAGCCCCCAGGCCCTCTCCAGGACTCGCAGTACCCCGATGGGGTAACGTGACAGAGACCCCGAGTGTCAGAGCCGCCCGCCGCCACGGCCGCCGCCTTCCACCCCCACCCCCACCCCAAGGCTGCCCTGTGCGTTCGGTTCAAGTTTGGGTTTCGTCTGGTCCTTGAGGGTTCGGGGCCCGCCTTTGAGCGCAGGGGGCCGCTCGCCCATCCACCGATGCAGACAGTGCTGGGCAGAGCCCCGGCGGCAGACTCACTGTGGGCTTTGTGAGGTTTTCTTGGCCGGGCTTTGGTTGTCCTTATTTTTACTTTTGCCCCTCATCGTTGCCCAGCTCCCTGAGGCAGGGGTGTGGGCCGCCACTCTCCCCTGGGGGCCTTGTCTTTCCTTCTCTTTGTAAAGAGCTGGACCCGGCTGCTCAGCTCCCCCACCTCCCAGGTATTTGCGCAGTATCAGTGCGGGTGGGGCGGGTTGCCAAAGCGTTTTCTGTCGGACAAGCACAGGGATCTAGGTTGCCTCGGGGCGTGGGGGGCTGGTGGGGGCCCTCCCTGGGTGCAGCCCCTCCCTGGGCCTCGGCCCGTCCTCGGAGGAGCATGGCGCGGATGAACCGGCCCGCCCCCGTGGAGGTGAGCTACAAGAGCATGCGCTTCCTGATCACGCACAACCCCACCAACGCCACCCTCAGCACCTTCATCGAGGTGAGTGGGGCCCGGTGTCCGGCCTGCCTCCCGAGAGTTGCGGCGGGGCTGGGTTTGGGGCTGTCAAACCAAGTACTGCCCTTCGGGGCAGAACTGTCGCCGGACCCTGGCGGGGGCAGCGCAGGCTGTGCTGCGGGGCTCCGTGTGAGGGTCAGCAGCCCCCTGGGGGCCTGCACGGTAGGACGGCTGGAGCAGGGGCTCCGCACTAAGTAGACAGGGGCAGGCTCAGAGGTCGGAGCAGCGGGGATTGCCTCCTCGGACACCACCTGCGGCTGGAGCGGCCTTGGCTGGCTGCTGGCTTCTGTGCAGGGCTGAGCAGGAAGGGGGGTCCCAGGGTGAGAAGTGGCCGCTGAAGCAGCTGGGGCAGGCAGAAGTTCAGCTCCGCGGCCAGCCCAGGCTGCAGGAAGCCTGCTGGCTCTCCGGGAGGCCTTGGGTTAGAATAGGCAGGGCTGGAGGCTTTAGGGAGCAGGTGTCTGGGAAGAGAGGCTGGGTAAGAGTCTGTGCTGGCCACAAGGAGGAGTGGCCACCGCTGGTGTGACCAGATGTGTTTGCAGAGCCTGCAGCTCTCCACATGCCCTCCTGTAGGAGCCTGGGCTCTGCAGAGCTCCTTGCTCTTTGCAGAGCCTGTGGCTGCATGTAAGTGCATTTGTGGTCTCAGACCCTCAGCCCTTCCCTCTGCAACGTGAGAGCAGCCCCGTGGGTGCTTGTCATGATTAAACAGGGACTTGGGCACGAGAGGACCTCGAACACTGTAAAGGGAGGCAGGGGCACCCTGCCATTAGGGGCCTGGGCCCTGGACACTGTGTCAAGAGCCCTGCAGAGGAGGGCTGCCCCTCTTCACAACGGAGATCCTTGAGGTAATAGCAGGACCTGGGGAAAGACTCAGCTCAGCAGTCAGCCTGTGACTGGGCTCAGGGTCTGTGTGTTGCCAGGGTCAGGGGTCAGGGCTCAGCATGTGACTGGGGTCAGGGCTCCAAGTGTGACCAGGGTCAGGGCTCAGCGTGTGACCGGGGTCAGGGCTCAGAGTGTGGCCAGGGTCAGGGTTCAGTGTGTGACCAGGATCAGGGCTCAGTGTGTGACCAGGGTCAGGGGTCAGGTGTGACTAGGGTCAGTGCTCAGAGTGTGACCGGGGTCAAGGTGAGTCTGTGTTGAGGGCCAGGGCTCAGCCCTGGGCCGGCTGGCTTCCCCTTTCACTGCATGCACAGAGGACTTCTGAGGTGGCCCCGCGGCCTCGGAACCCCGCCCACTTTCCTGTGCACTCTGCATTCTGAGCATAGCGGTGTCCCGCCCTCATTGTGTCTGGTGTCCCCATCGCATGACGAGCAGCGTCCAGCAGATGATTGCTCACACTCCCAGAATAGCTGGTGGAGCAGGTGGGGTGGGAGCAGCCCCAGCACGGGCTCCTGTGGAGTGGACCCCCCACTTAGAGGATAAATATAAACAGCCTGGCTCTGAACTGCCTTGACCTTTTCTCTGGTAGCCCGGGGCTTCCCCGCCAGTGTGCAGGGCCTGGCTCCCTCCCGTCACCATCTGAGCAGGTGCCTCCCCCTCGAGCTTCTGCAGGCCCTCGTGTGGGGTCCAGCTATGCCCTCAGTGAGACCCATCCATGAGACCCTGGCCAGGAGGGCAGCTCAGGCCACGGTGTCCTGTCCCTGCTTTGTCTGGAAGATGCTGGTGCCATGGGGGGTCCTGAGCACCCGGGATGAGGGTAGGAATGTGCTGGAAGCTGGGCTCATGGCAGGCTAGCCACACTGCAGTGAGAGCAGGTGGGGACAGCCTGCCCGGAAGCATCAGGAAGGCTCCTTCCCCCCGTAGTGAGTCGTTGGGCCCGAAAGCCTGCCACTGGTGGTTCCGCTTGGTATCAGCCTTTCGGTTTCGTTGAGGGGGCACGGCCCTGCGCCCTCAGCCCCAGCCCAGCCTGCCTTCGTCCTCCCTCCCCGCCAGGACCTGAAGAAGTACGGGGCCACCACTGTGGTGCGAGTGTGCGAAGTGACCTATGACAAGGCCCCTCTGGAGAAGGATGGCATCACAGTCGTGGTGAGGGCCTCGGGGCTCTGGTAGCACTGCTGCTGGGGGAGGGAGGTGGGTGGTATGGGGTGGGCCTGGACTGGGAGTGTGGAGCCCCTTGCCCGGAGGCCTTGCTTCATACCACCTGCACAACCCCCCCCCACCCCCCCCCGCATGTTGGTTCCCTGGGCCACATGATGCCGGGGCACGTGTCTAGAGTGGCTGAGCTTTGAGCTCGTCCCTGGCCAGTGGGGCCCGGGAGGCGGGCGCGCGTGCCGATGCACAGCCGCGGCTCCCGAAGCGGGGTCCCCCCAGTGCCGGGGCCACTGCTGCTCACCGCACAACAGCCCTGGTGGGGCTCTGCCAGGGCGAACCTGAGGCTCGGATCAGTCGCTGTCTGAGGCCGCAGCCGGACGGTGCCAGAGCCACAGAGCCTGGGGAGCAGACTTTCATGATAGCACCCCCTGCCCCCCAACCTCGTGGCTGCAGCTGTGACCTCCATGGCCCTCGCTGCGCAACCGTCCTGAGCAGTGTGGAAGAACAGGGCCCAGTGACTCCTGGCCAGCTCCTCGGGGCCGGGGCTGTCGGGGGGCGGTTCCTGTGTGTCTTGCTGCCTGCTGTTTGAGGCGTGTTGGTGGGCAGTGCTCTGGGGGGTGCGGGGAGGGCAGGCGCACCTGGGCCATCCCCCGGGAAGCTCTCTGCGAGGCTGTGGGCAAGGGAGCCTGGGAGCTGTTCCCTTGGTCCCCTGGCCCTGGGGACCCGAGAGCAGGCAAAGGAGGGGGTGGCCGTGCTGCCACCCGCCTGTGGGATGGGCCACGGGGCTGCGGCACCTCCCCTGGGGCGGGGCTGCCCAAGGCTCAGAGCGGGGGGTGGGGGCAGCTGGGAGTCCAGTGGCCCCACCCAGAAGATCCCTTAGATATTAGCTTTCACTCGGGGACCCGCCTCCCCGTCGGCCTCGGTGGGCCCGTGTGGACTCTGGCTTGGAGCAGTTCCCCTCTGCCGTGCCTGAGTCTCCTTCACCTGGACTTAGCGTCTCGGTCCTCGGGGCAGTGACCGGGGCTGGGCTTACCCTGCAGGCTTGCCTCTCCTCTTCCAGAGTGCTTGGGGAGGTGGGCCGCACAGCTAAGTTTTCAAAACCGAATGAATCCCCGAATGTCTGGAGAGGTCCCAGCTGTAACTGTCTGGAATCCACTGCTCAGAACAATGGGGCTCACCCTAGTGCCCTTCCTTCACTCCTTCCTGGTCAGTAACCGGGCTGGGCCTGCTTTGTGCAGCTGGGCTGGGGGCTGGGGACAGGAAGAGGCACGTGTCGGCCATGCTTGCAGCCCAGACTCCTTGGGCCTGCTGACCCAGAAACACTCAGGTTGGTGAGGGTCAGGCTGTGACCCTGGAGTCACAGCACGGGCTGGCCGGGAGGGGACGTAGGGCTCACTGTGCTCAGGAAAGAAGAGGGTGGGGTGTTCGGGAGGGCTTCCTGGAGAAGGGGCCAGTGGACGTAAGCAGAAGAGGAAAAGGAGCCTCGAAGTGGGGACCGCATGCCTGGCCAGCTCTCTGCCCTCTGGGGCCTGCTGTCTCTCACCCTCGCGGGATCCCTCTGTGTGCTTCTCAGAATGCCGACCTTGTCCCGGCCGGGGGCTGACCGGCCCCGGGCCCCCCAGTCTCACGGGCTTCTGCCCTCCGCAGGACTGGCCGTTTGACGACGGGGCGCCCCCGCCTGGGAAAGTGGTGGAGGATTGGCTGAGCCTGCTGAAGGCCAAGTTCTGTGATGACCCCGGCAGCTGTGTGGCCGTTCACTGTGTGGCTGGCCTGGGACGGTGAGCTGGGGGGCCGGGCGGGGCTGGCTGGACCTCAGGATCCTGTGGCCCGCCATGCTCTTGCACGTGGGTGCTGGGCCCCCGTCACGTGACCACAGGCAAGCAGTCCTTCCCCAAGCGTGACCCCACTTCTGCTGCTGGGTTGCAACGTGGTCCCTGTACTCAAGCTGGGAGGAGCTGCCAGCCCGTCCCCCAGACACAAAGACTCCCTACAGCCAGGTGTGACGGAGTGACCCGGGCAGTGCACCCCCAGTTTCAGGCCAAACACTGGCAAGCGAGGTTGATGGCCAGACACACCCCCAGCAGCTGCCCTCCCTCTGACTCTCTAGCGCGCTTGTACCCGGGGAGCCTGAGGCACAGAGAGGGTGCCTGGCCCTCCTGGGGCCACGCAGCAGGTGGTCGGGGTGAGCTAACACCTGTGCCCTCCGTGGGGGAGGGGGCTGCACTGGGGTAGCCTGGGCAGCTTTTTGGTGGGTGTGAGGGTGAAGGCATCACCCTGTGCCTTCAGCGACGGCCCGTCAGGGGAAGGGGCAGGTGCCGAGGCTTGGTGACCCAGCCCTGCGTCTGCCCCCAGGGCCCCGGTCCTCGTGGCACTGGCTCTCATCGAGAGCGGGATGAAGTATGAAGATGCCATCCAGTTCATCCGACAGTGAGTGACCGGTGAGGGTGGGGGCGGAGGGCAGTTGGTGTGCGCTTGAGGGTCTGGGTTTAGGGGGCCCTTATTCTGCACCCCCCCGTCGGGCCCAGCGTCTTTCTAGCGGGCACTCCTGACCCCTGGCCACAGGGTGACCTCAGAGTTGTCCCCAGTCCCGTGCAGCCTCACGCTGGGGCACCGGCACACTCGTGTGGGCCCCGTAGCCAGGCCGCCTGCCTGTGTGTGGCTCCTGGTGCCGGGAGGTGTGAGTGAGGAGGGGCTCCCAGCTCCGTGCCTGGGATGAGCACAGGCTGCAGTGCCAGGGGCAGGTCCAGACCCCAGCAATGAGCACAGCTCAGACCGGTCCCTCACTCGGATGACCCTTGGACGCGGTGAAGTGGGGTATCTGCTCAGGGACTCCGGGGCCCTTGGTGGGCAGCCCTCCTCCAGTGTTGCCAGTCTCAGGGCTGGAGTCGCTCTGGAAGCCTTGCCTGGCAGACACGTGTCCTTTCCACTCTCACTTCATTGGCCAGAGCAAGTCCAGGCTACGCCTGAGGTCCTGGGTGGGTGGGGACGGATGACCTCCTGAAGGGCATCCTATCACCTGTCGCCTGAGGAACCCCCTTCCTCCCTCCCTCCCGGGCTGCAGAGACGCCCAGGCTCTACCCTGTGGCCCCGTAGCAGCCCGTGACCTGGGGGTGGGGTGGCACCCGGGTGAACCAGGGGGCCTTGGGAGGGTGGGCGCTGTGGGGGGTGCCTGGAGGAGGTGATAGTAAGGCGAACTGAGGACCAGCGGCCGTGACAGCAGGTAGGGGAAGGGTGATGCCCGCAGTGGAATAGGCTGGGGGTGCTGCACCGTCCCGCCTGAGCCCACCCCGTGCCGTCTCCCCAGGAAGCGGCGTGGAGCCATCAACAGCAAGCAGCTCACCTACCTGGAGAAATACCGGCCTAAGCAGAGACTGCGGTTCAAGGAGCCGCACACGCACAAGACCAAGTGCTGTGTCATGTAGCCCGGGGGCTCTGAGCAGGGACCCTGTGCCCCGCTGCCGCCGGCTCGCCTTCTCTCCCGGACCCTCGGCACCCCCCCGTCCCCCGGGTCCAGCTCGCCCTGCGTGCCCCGCCTGTGCCGGCTCCTTCCTCTGTTTCTCCCCATGTGTCTCCATGTGCCTGAGTCCTCCGCTCTGGGAACTCCCGCTTCCCTTTGTCCCCACAGCCCTGTCTCTCTGAGGCTTAGTTGGGGCCCCCTTGCCCCTGCCCGCCCACAGGGTCCCCCGGGCAGCTTTCCTCTCAGGCTCATCTGTCACGGAGCAGGTGTATTTTTTAGCCACTGGGCCTGACCCTTCCTCCACGGCCTCTTGCCGTGACCTGTTCTCGGCACTTTCAATTATTGGGTCTGGAGACCGTCAGATGTCCTGGACACTCGAAGGCAATAAAACAGGACCCCGTGGCTGTGTGTGTCTGGAGAGCGGGGTGCGGGGCCTGGCGGGGCGGATGGGGTGGACGGGGGAGGGGGAAAACGGGGGAACAGCGGCTTGGGAGACTGGGTGGAGCCCAGGGAGGCCCTCTGGCCGGCTGCACTAGGACTCCCCCTGGCGTCCATGCTGGGTCCCCGCACTCCCTGGATTAGGAGCCGGGGACATCCCTGATGTAGCAGAGCTCACACCACTCCCATGTGACCTGCGCGGGCCCAGGTGACTTGCTGTTTTTTGGGCGGGGGGGCCTGGGGCATCAGAAGGCAGGGCCGGGTCACCAGTGTTGCCCCTCTGCAGGACAGGCTGGGGCTCACTTGGTAATTCTTTAGGGCCTTGTGTCTAGTGGGGTGGCCGCTCAGTTCTGCCCCCACCAGGTGTCCTCATTTCAGCCTGAGAGGCCCAGAGGAACGTGCAGATGGCAGTGGCCCGCTTGGCTCCAGATGGAGGGACACACCATCCCATTGGCCCAAGGAAGGGAGGGGAGGCCAGAGGGTGACCCTGGGGCCTACGGGGTGAGTGAGTCTGAGGGTGCAGGAGGCCTGCCTGGGGGTGTGGACTGCCATGCTCACGTGCCTCCGCATACAGGTGTCCCAGAGCTGGGGGCCGGCCCTTCCCTGTGAGAGGGTGCAGCCAGGAGGAGGGAGCCCAGGGCTGGCCTGGCTGGCATGTGGAAAGGCTGGGGGTGGTCTGTGCCAGAGCCCCTGCCCCCAGGCACTGTGACCCAGCTGTGGACACCACCCAGAGGCCTTCACTGATGGCATTCCTCCCAGTCACTGGGACCCAGTGCCTTTCTTAGGAGTCACAGCTCCGGGCCTGGCATCCCCACCTCCCACCTGCATCTCCATGGCCTGAGCCTCCCTCCCTCCGCCTGCACCCTACACACACTCTGGGAAAGATCTGTGGGGAAGGGCTCCCCTAGCCACCTGGTTGTCACCCCTTCTGTTTTTCCCAGGGGAGGAGGCGTGCCCAGGAAGGGCAGGGGCCAGGCCTTGGCACAGAGTCTTGTGCTTGGAGGCAGGTGCCCTTGCCTGGGCCCATTCTGCTAGTACTTGCACGGATGGCCCTGGCGGGGGGGGGGTGGCTGTGTGAGCCGTCCCTTCCTCGGGGCCCTGGGGGTTGGCCAACGGGGACACAGGCCCGCCCCTCTGTCTCCCGGGCTGCTGCAGCGGGCCTGGCTGTGAGCTGTTACCACTGGTACCATTAATGGGGTGCCCTCCGTGTGCCCGGCTCCACAGAGCCCAGCTGCCCTGCTAGGTAGGAGTTGGGCCCCTTTGCGATTCCAGACGCAAGGCTTATCTGTCACATCACTGTCGGCTCCAGGAACCCACCGGGTCCAGGCCCACCAGCTCCAAGCTTTCACTGAACCAGACTTCCCAGAGCAGAGTGTGGAGGAGGCCTGCCTGCCCACCGCCCGGCAGGGGCCAGAGGATGATGCCCCCCTTTTAGGGGTCCTTTTAGGGACCACAGCCACCAGGCTGGACCAAGGGGACCCAGTTAACCCACTCCTTGGTTCTGAAGGAGCACATCCCCCATGCCCCAGCCAGGGGGTTGGAGTACCATGGAGGTCAGTGCGCAGGATGGGAGTCGGGAAAAGCCACCCCCCCAAAGTCCTCGGGTGGCTCTATTCAGAGGTGGACAGACGGATAAGAAGGAGGCTGCAGATCCTGGATCTCTCTTGGCTCCCAGGGGGAGAGGGGGGCCCCCAGCTCGACCAAATGAAACCCCTCTGAGAAGCAAATTCGCGCTCCATGAAGGTTGCTGTATTTTTTCAACCCACCATCCAAGTGGCAGTCCTCCCCTGTGCCTGCTGCCTCCCTCCCCCAAGGGGCTTACAGTCTCTGGGGGGTGGGGTGGGGTGAAAGCCTGGAGTGTGTCTGGTGCAAGGGAGGGGTGGCTCAGGCCCCGGGGCTGAGGAGGGGTTGGGGTGAGGGCTTCCTCCGGTGGGGCTCGTCCTCAGAGGAGGGGCAGTGTGGAGGCCCCCAGCTGGGAGAGAGTGGGGAAGGTGCTCCAGGTGGAAAGAGCTTCCTGAGCAAAGGTGTGGAGGGGTCAGTGTGGGCACGTGACGGATAAGGCTGGTGAGGGGCCGGCTGGCACGCGTCCTGAGAGGGACAGCCTGGGGCTGAGGCCCCGGGAAGAACTTCAGCAGGCAAGGGGAAGACCCATCTGCCCATTTCACATGTGGGGAAACCAAGGCTGAGAAGGGAGGACCTGGCTGAAGGTCAGGCGGGCCTCCAGGTGGCTGCATGGGAGGTGGGGGTCCCTGCCAGGGAGGGACCTTCTCTGGACTCAGCCCTGCGAGGGCTCTCGGGAGGAAGGTCTTACTACCCATTTTACAGATGGAGTAGCTGAGGCGGAGCGGGCAGAGACCGTCGCCTCAGGCCACACAGCTTATCCAGGCCCCGCCGGGAAGGTCTGGCTCCGGCCCAAGCTGGGTCTGCCGCGAACCTCAGGTGCCCACGAGGATGGGGTCAGGGTGGGAGGAGACCTGGAGTCCCCTGGACTGACTGAAGGAGGCCCGCCACTTGGTGACTCCAGAGCTCCAAGCCAGAGACAAACTGAAGACTCAGGTGTGGGCAGAGTCCTGGTGAATGGCTCCACCCCCTGTGGCTGCCCTTGCAGGGCCTTCTCGGCGCTCAGGACGCCGGCAGGCCATGGTGTGGGCTCTGGTCGGGGGGAGTGCCCCTGACCTCCACAGCTGCATTTGCGGGACCCTGCCCAGACTTCACAGGTGGTCTCTGGGAGACCTGGCCTGCCTCCTGTCCCCTGGGCTTTCCTCAGTCTTCTGGGGCCATGAGGTGGTGGGCAAGGAGCAGACAGGTGTGATGCTTCTTTGTTGAATCTAGATGTTTCTTTCAAATGGAAAAATGTTATGCAACCAAGCTCTATGTGGACAGGGTGGGGCTGACCGATTCGGTGGGCGCAGGGGAGGGGGAGGAGGGTGAGGGAGGGCGGCTGGAGGTCACTGCGGTCTGGCTGCCACCTTCTGGAGGAAGGAGAACTGTCTGCTGGCAAATTCCCGGATGCCGGGCTCTGGGTCTTTTGTGAGATCTTCAAAAGCTCCAGGGGAGGAGACACAAGTCAGAGGTGACCCGGGGTCCCATCTGCCCACAGCCCTGTCCCGGTGGAGGGAGCCTGGGGTCCGGGACCCTCCTTCCAGCAGGGGTGGGGGCAGCAGCGGGACGTCACCCAGATCCCACCTCCTCTGCCTCCCAGGCCTGGGGTGCTGCCCTCCCCAACCCCACCTCTTCCTTGCTCCTCACTTTTGGGAGCCTCGGGTGGCGTGAGTGGGTGTGAGCCTCCATCTCACGCTCGAGGTGGGGGGACGTGGGGTTGCTTACTAGAGAACAGCAGGTTTGTGTCGACACTGTTCACCATCTGGGACACGGCCTGGGGGTGGTAGCAGATGGTGTAACCTGTGTGACAGATGGAGGCGCCGGCCGGTGGCAGGGGGCTTGCTGGCAGGTGGGGGCTCAGACCCTCTCCCGCCCGTCCGGGGCCCCTCGCCCTCCACCCCTCCTCTCTGCCCTCCGTTGCGGTGGCCTGGCAGGTGAGGGTCAGGGTGCTGGGGCAGGGCAGGCCTGGAGGGTCCCGGAGCCCGGCCGCCCCCGCTCACCTATGAAGAGCGCTGCCCAGGTCTTGACGTGGTGGTGGCGGCTGTGCAGGGAGCTGAGGGCCTGCGCCAAGTGGATGCCAAACTCCTCCTGGCTGTGGGTCATCTGGCCGGAGGACAGCACGCCATGCTGGCTGGACTGCGGACCCCTTTCCAGCCCGGCCCCACCCCTGCGGCCCCTGGGGCTGGGTGTGCGGTGAGCACTGGAGCAGCGAGCCTGGAGCCTGGCCCCAGCTACCCCGCCCGGCCTCCCCCGCCACGGCAGCGGGTCCCTGCGCCCAGGCCCCTCACCAGGCAGGTCCAGAGGAAGTGGCGGGCACTGAGGCCCCTCTCCCAGGCCAGCGTGCAGAACAGGGTGTGCCGAAGTGGCCACCGGAGCAGCACGGCGCAGCGGTACAGGGCAAACTTGGCCTGCTGCAGGGGCGGCCAGAGCAGGGGTCACCAGCCGCCCGGGCGCTCCGCGCCAGAGGGCTGTCCCCGCCCCAGACCACGAGCTTCATGTGGGGTCTGAGGCCTGATGCTGTCCTCCGAGGCTGTACTCTCAGCCCGCCCTCCGCCCCCGGGCCAGCCCTCACTCCTGCCCCAGGCTGGCCCCATTCCTCCCATTCCTTTTGGAACTGGCCGCGTGTTGCCTGTCTTCCTGATGGCCAGGATCCCGGGGGGCCGGGCTGTGTCTTACTGGCCTCAGCACAGGGCACGGCTGGCGCCTAGGGAAGCTTGATCATTTCGCTACGTTCAGCGAACGACCCGAGCCTCCAGCCTGTGTCCGGCGCTGGGGACACTGCAGTGAGCGCAACAGGCCGGGTCCTGCCCCCACAGACCGCACAGCTGCGCGTGTGCACAGGTGTGTGTGTGTGTGTGTGTGTGTGTGCGCGCGCACAGGGTGGACCTCAGTCCGCCAGGGAAAACACCCCGGGTCCACACTGCTGCCCCAGGGAGCAGCCTTGCCCTCGGGCGGCCCTACTGACGTCTGCAGAGCCTCCGCCCCCGGCCCCCGCCCCCCAGCCCCACCCAGGAGAAAGCCCCTCAGCAGGCACTGACCGTGACGACGGCCGGACAGCAGTCCTTCAGGTGCAGGAGCAGGGGCACCATGCTCTGGTGTACCTGGGTCCGCAGGCCCCTTAGCTCCCTGTCCACCATGGCTGCCACCAGGTCCCCGAACAATGCCATGGCCGCCGCTCGGATCCTATCCCGCTCCTGTGAGGCAGGGGCTCAGAGCGTCAGCCGAACCCGCCTGGGGCCCCCATCCCCACCCATCCGGGACCCCCACCCTGTGGAGGGGATGGGGCTCAGTTCCTGTGGCTGAGCCCCTCCCCCAGGCCCTGCGCCCCTTGGGCAGGGTCGTGCCTCCCCCCGTCACACAGGCCCCCTCGCGGGTCCCAGGCCTTCCGCAAGAACCTGAGCTCATGTCTCCTTCACTCACAATCTCATCCTGACGACCCAAGGGTCAGGAAGGCGGCTGGGGGGGCGGGGTTCATCCCTCTAGTTCCCCAGTGAAGGGAAACAGTCCTCGTGAACACGGGACAAGGAAGGAGAGGGCTGCAGGGCTGCAGGGGTGAAGGCTGCCTCGGGTCCAGCCTTGTGGAGAAGGGGTCGAGCGCCACCTGGCGGCCACTCGGCCCGGCTCGGCCCAGGTGGCCCATTGCACACCCAGGTATCTCCCGGGGTATCTCCCCAGCCCAGGTGGAGGGAGCTGGGGTCCCCCTGCCGTTGAGGACCAGGGGTAGGCACAGGAGGGGCACAGGTAGGGGCACCCTGCCTCCACCCGGGGGCACTCACGTCGTCAAAAAAGGAGCGGGCATTGATGGCGACCCTGAGGCTTTGGGCGGCCGCGCTGTGTGCCCCCAGGCGGTGCAGCACGTCCGACACGGTGCCCATGACCTGCACGACCACCTGCTCGCTGTTGTGGAAGAAGCCGTCGAGGAAGGGCGGCAGCTGTCCGCGGAGCAGGCTTCCCTAGGGGTGGCGGGGGCCGGTGGGCTGAGGGCGCTGGGACGGGTTACTCCTGTGCCCTGCCCCACCCCTGCCAGTTGTACCTGGAACCGACTTGGGCCCTCCTCCGCGGCCCCTCCCCAGCCCCCATCCTGGCCTGGGCGCCTGCACCGCCCCTGCATGCCTGCCCGGCACCGTGCCCCAACCTCGCTGGGATCCCACCCTGGCTCTGCGCACAGGGCAGCTGTGCTCCTACCCTGGTCTGCCTACAGGAGCTGTGTGGGCATGGGCGGGGCTTTCCCTCTCTGAGGGGGGCCTCCCAGGGTTAAGGGATGTTAAGCCCCGGCTAGTGGGCTCCCAGCTGCCGCTTCTTTGTCCTGATCCCTGCTGGCTGGAAGGCCCCTCGCCCAGGCCTGAGGACCACCCTCCCCTTCCTCCTCCCCACCCCGCCTTTGCCCCCGTTCCCGGCCTCCCTGTGGGTCAGCTGGGGCCTGGGGGCAGGACAAGACAAGGTTGGTCAGGTGTGCACGGACTGAGCTCACCGGCCCCTCCCATCACAATGACCACTTCCCACGTTTACACTCCTTTACACAAGATTGAGTTCATTTTCAGCCGGTTCTGTCTGCTCGTCTTGTTTGCCTGGCGATGGGTAACTGTCCAGATGAACGGCTGGACGGCAAGATGTCGGCAAATGGATGTTTCCCGCCATTGGGCCCCTTATCAGTGATAGCGTGTGAGAGCCAGGGTGATTTTTACAACTTTAAAACAAGTTTTAGGCCACATCATTGGCTTCCTGAGCTGTTTGGTTTACGATATTAAACTTTTTCAGCCGATGAGTCAATTAACAGCAACAAACCCTTTCTGAGCACCTACTGGGCCCAGTGAGGGTGCTGGGATAGGACCAGGGTTCTGGCGGAGGATGGAACAGGCAGAATGGGGTTTAGTGGGAAAGACCAGAAATAAACAAAGCACGCACAACACAATGCGTGTCGGAGGGTGGCAAGCAATCTGAGAGAAGAGGGGATGGAGCAGGCTGCAGTGGAGGCCGTGGGGTGGTGGTGGTTAAAAAAAATTTAATTTTAAGTAAGTAGGATCAGAGAAAGTGTCACCAAGAAGGTGACCACTGAGGGAATTCTTACAGAGGTGCTAGAAAAGCATTCCAGCAGAGGGTGCAGCTTGTGCAAAGGCCCTGAGGCAGGAGCACACCTGCCCTGTTTGTGAGCAGAGGAGAGACCGATTCAGAGCATCACAGGAGCCTACTGGCTGCTGGGGGGCCTGTACTGAAAAGGAGAAGGGGCAGCTGTTGGGACCAGGCAGAGGGGTGCAGTGGTCTGGGGGAGATGCTGGTGGTTTCAGTGAGGGCAGCAGGGCAGTGGGAGAACAGGCGCATTCTGGGTTTGCTTGTGATTTTTTTCATTGCCTGGATGGTCCCAAGGTTTGGGGTCCCTGTCAACTGAGATGAGAGTTGCAGGAGGCACCTGTCTGGGCAGGGGGAAGGGTTGGGGTGAGGAGTTTGTTGTGCACATGCTGAGTTTGAGATGCCAGCTAGGATCCGAGCAGTGAGTCACGGCTGGAGTCCAGGGCCGGGGTTGGGATACTGATCTGGGGACAGTCGGACAGTAGATGGTACTTAAAGATTGGAGAAGGCCAGCAAGGGAGCGGCAAAGACAGGGCAGAGGAATGGGAAGGAGTGGTGAGGCAGGATCCAGGGACAGGGGGAGAGACCAGCGGAGCTGAGAAGGATGTGGGGGTGACGTGGGAGGGAAACCGAGTGAGCGAGGAGTCCTAGATCAAGGGGATGAAAGTCCCCTAGACCCGTGTGCTGACGGGCCCAATAAGGGGTCCCGCAGTGGGAGGTCACAGGTGCCATGCGCAGAGGTGCGGCAGGCTGGTGGAGGGGTGGGGGGTGCAGGCTGCCTCCAGGGCTGCCTGACTCCAAGCCTACATGTGTACTGTTTCCAGTGGAATATTTCATTAAGCGTTGTGGTGATGGCGTCTTCATACAATCTCCAACAAGCACAAGGCCTCTTGCTAAGGGGGCTTCTGTTGCGGTGGCCATGTGAGTGCCCAGGAGATGGACTCCCCCTGAGGCACCGCCACTCGGTCCATCGACTAGAGCAGAAGGGAATGAAGCCCTTGTGGGTTGTGCCCTCAAAGGGTAGGGTGTGCTGCTGGCTGGAGTGGACATGGTGGGCAGCACCCGGGGCTGGGGGCAGGGGCGCACAGCGAACCAGGAGGAGCCTGCTCTCCCCGAGACTGCAGACCGGATGGCCGCACCCCTGGGAGAGAACGCACGTCTGCCTTGTTAAAGCCGCAGTTAGCTTGGCTCTTCGGCGTGCGCTACACCTCTGGCCTCCTCGGACAGTTTCTGTTTGACGGTAGACAGGTGGCTGAGAAGGTGTGCACCGGCGGGTGGGGACAGTCCCGTGGGTCCCTGCACAGGGCACCTCTCTGGTGTGGGGGCAGTGACCATTGACCCTCAGCCCTGTGTCCTGCTCCATCCCTGTCTAGTTCAGCTGGTCCTGGCCCCACGCCAGCAGGCCTCCTTGGCCGGCAGTGCTCTGGATCCGCCTGTTGCCTCAGCCCCGCTGTGGCCAGCAGTCCACACCCCACTTGGGAGCCATGCCCCTTCCCCGGCCTTGGCCATCCTCGTCTGGTTGCCCTACTGTCTGTCTTCTCCATTCCCCATGGGGCCCCACCCAGTGCAGGGCATGGAGGCACATCGAAACTTCCTACTGATTGTCCACCTGCAGGAACAGCCGGAGAAAGGTGTATGGATGACTGACCACTGACTGACCGAGTGACCGACTGAATGAATGAATGATAGAGCAAATGTGAATAACTGAGTGAATGCATATTATATAAAGAATGAACAAAAAATAACGAAAGAATAAGTCATAAATGAAGGGCCCAAGGACCAAATAGATGGGCGGATAGGTGGGTGGATGGATGGATAGGTGGATGGATGAATGGATAAGCAGACGGGTGGATGGTTGAGTGGATCGGTGGATGGACAGATGGATGGGCGCATGGGTGGATGAATGGATGGATGGGCAGGTGGGTGGGTGGATGAATGGATAGGTGGATGGATGAATGGGCAGATGGGTGGGTGGATGGGCAGATGGATGGATGGACAGATGGATGGGCTGATGGGTGGGTGGATGAATGGACAGGTGGATGGATGAATGGATGGATGGGCAGATGGGTGGGTGGATGGGCAGATGGATGGAAGGACAGATGGATGGGCTGATGGGTGGGTGGATGAATGGACAGGTGGATGGATGAATGGATGGATGGGCAGATGGGTGGGTGGATGGGCAGATGGATGGAAGGACAGATGGATGGATGGACAGATGGATGGGCAGATGGGTGGGTGGATGAATGGATAGGTGGACGGATGGACGGGTGGATGGGTGGATGGGTGTATAGGTACATGGATGAGTGGATGGGCAGATGAATGAAGAAGTGCTAGTCTCCCTTGCTAAGTACCTACGATGTGCCATGTGCAGGGCAAAGGGCTTTGCCAGGAGCGACCTTAATGGAGATCTCCTCTTAACCATGCGGAGACATGTAAGGTGAACAAAATGGGAGTGAAGTGGGCTGACAGGCAGAAGGCTGCAGAATCTCTTTGGAACCTGGCCCTTGCGTGGCCCTTCTGCCATCAGACGCTTTCTGCCACAGCCCTGGAAGTCCGTATGTTCAGCAGAGGAGATGGGGTCTGGGCATCTTGCTGTCTTCTTGGGTGTTCATGTAGCCCCTGGGGTGGATGGGGGAGGTAGAGGCCGTGCACCTCCAGATCAGGTGGGAAAATCTCTCTGATATTTCTCTTGTATGGCAGCAGTCACCGGCAGGTCTCCCACCGCGGCCAGGGATAAAAGGCTGCAGCCTGTGACAGCAAATGGCTGGAGGGGACCCCTGTGCCGCATGGACTCAGCATGGCACTCATTGACAGGTGCTATGACCACTCGCCTGTCACAGAGATGGACACTGACGCCGGCCCAGGCGCTGAAGAAACGTGCCCGCCAGAAAGTGCTGGGGTGAGGATGGGGTGGGCCTGGTAACCTGCTGGGTCACCTGGGTGCCCCACCGCGGCATGGCACCCTAGGAAGCCGCAGCAGGGGCGACATCGGGCTCCAGTGGGATGGCCAGATGCCCCGGGGGCTGTGTCTTGAGCCTTCTCTTCTGCCTCTTTGCTAAGGCCCCCTGCTGTTCATCATGGGATGTGGGCTGTTCCAGTGATGGGAGGTTGGAAGGGGACGGATGGGTCACCAGGGGATGGAAAGTCCCGCCCCTGAGATTCTCAGGGCAAGTTCCCCTCTGAGGGCCAGGCTTGGGTGCCACCTGGTGGGCCCCTCCTTGGCCCCTGGAGGTCTGCGATAGCATTGTCTCCCTCCTGGGTGTGGAGGGGACATCATCCCTGGGGAATAGACACTTTACCCCCCCCCCCACAACCCTACCGAGAGGCCATCACCAGCCCCATTCTACAGATGAGGACACTGAGGCCCGGAGAGGCGGTCATGTGTCCCCAGCTGCACTGTGGGAGGGGACAGAGCCAGGATTCCAACCCAGTAGGGCCCATCCACACTCCATGCACCCAGCTGCTCTGGGGGGGTGTGTGTGTGTGTGTGTGACAGGGCCCTTACCTTCTCTGGGTGGAAAAGGATGTTTCCTAGGCCCTGCAGGCTCAACACACGGACCTCGGGGCTGGGGTCCCTGAGGCTTCGGGCCAGCGCAGTCAGGGCAGCCTGTCTGGGGAGCACCTCCAGCAGGGCAGGGCTGTAGAGGAACTGGGGCAGTCCCCAAGGGCAGGCGGGTCAGGCCTGGCACCTTCTTGTAGGGAGCCTCCCTCTGCGTCTGGGAGCAGGGCTCGAGGACCGGGGTCTGGCAGGGGTGTTGGGGAGGGCTATGGGTGAGCACTCTCTGGGTGTCTTGGTTAACACGTATTTGAAACTCACCTCCACGCTGCTTCAACTCTTCAATGTATGGCTGGGAAGCCAAAGCCCAGAAGGGGAAAGAGCCTTGCCTGATGTCACACAGCAAGGCTGGGGCCAATGTACAGCCATGGCCTGGCTCATGGGACACCTGGGGACGGAGCCCGGCAGAGGGTGGCTCAGACCTTCCTGCTATGGGTGGTGTGGGGAGCGGCACCGGACTTTGGTTTGGGGTTCTCTCTGCTGATGTCTGTTATGGAGATGCCACACGAGCCCCACCACGGCCCCAGCTTCAGTGGCAAGGCTGGTCACACCCCCGGGGCCTCTCCAGTTCTAACCAGGGCCCTCTTGGCCTCCCAGGCCCCGGGGCGGAGCTGAGCCCAGTTCTGCCTGACTGGCCAGCCCTGTGGAGGTCGGGCCAGGGAGGGAGAGGTGGACAGATAGGTTCGTCCAGGCTACAGGCTCACGGGGGCCTGAGAAGTGGGGGGCCCAGCCAGGAGCCCCAGACCATGGACCGCCGTGGAACCAGAAGGGGGAAGGAAGGGGTAGGAGGGGTCATCTGGATGGGCCTCCATCCAGGCAAGGTCCTGAGGGGGGCTCTGAGGCAGCTGGAAGAGGAGGCTGCGTCTGAGGGTTCCCCCTCTCCCTGCCCAGGCCCCTACCTCAGTGAGGATTAGGATGGCCGCCTTCCTCTCCCGCTCCTCCTTGCTCTGCAGGCTGGGCAGCAGCAGGCTGGTCACTGCCTTGATCTGCTTGCAGTGGTTCTGCACCATGGCCCTGGGGTGAGGGGAGGAGGGCAGGGGCAGGGCCTGGGTGTGCGGGTACGGCCCTCCCCTACCCACTACCTCCCACTACCTCCCACTACCACCAGGCCCAGCAGGTGTGGCTGGGCACCCATTGCTTGGAGTGTGTGATGCCCCTCTGTACCCCCTGGCCGCCCACTGGCTTCCAGGCCTGGGCTGGGTGTGTGGGAGACAGAGGAGCAGGCCCCTGGTGGCCTCCGGCCGGGGTGAAGCTAGCCGAAGACACCTGTACCCACGGGCTCCCAGTGGGTGTGCGTGTGACCAGGCCCGAGGACACGTGTGAGTTCATGGGGGCTGTGCTCAGGGCGGGCCCTGGAGGTCACCGTGGCCAATACACTCATCTTCCTGGGCAGGTGGTGGACTGGGTCAGGCCCTGTCCCCTGCCCTGGCCCCACTCCTACCTGGCTAGGAGACCCACGCCCTGCGGGTAGGTGTGGATGGTGGTGAAGAGCTTCCAGGCGCCCTGCAGCTCCAGGTGTGCAAAGTCCTGCCAGTGCCCCGTGGTGGACAGCAAACTTTTCAGCGCTTCCAGGGATGTGCTGCGGGGAGACAGGGGGGTCACCGGGCCAGCCCTGCCCCTGGGGAGGGGGCCCGCTGCCCTGGGTGGAAAGGTCCATTCTGGCTCCTGTCCTGGCCCAGGGCCCCAGCAGCCCCGAGGCCTCCCTGCGGGTGAGGCCTGGTATGCGCGGGAGCTGTGCTGGCTGAGGGGGGCGGCAGGAGTCCATTCAGCCCCCCGGCCTGGGCTCTAGGATCAGTTGCTGGGTCAGGAGACTGGAGGTGCCCTTTTAGGAGTGGAGGGCGCTGTGGGAGGGTGTGAGATTGGCCTGGGGCAGAGACAGTGTGAGATGTGTTTGGAGCATCTCAGGGGATCCCCGGTTGTGTCCGGGGCTGGCTTTCCGAGGCCGTAGCTCTGGGGACAGGGCTGGAGGTCAGTGGGCTCCCACGGCACGGGGTACAGAGGGGCCTGGCTGAGCCTTGGGGGATGGTGCCATTTAAATGTGGGGCCAAAGGGTGCTGCAGGGAGGGAGGAGGCGAGCTGGGGAGCATGGTGTCCTGCGAGCCCGGAGAAGTGTCCACTTGCCACCCTGGACACCGCTCTGCCCTCAGGGGACACAGGTTCCACTGGCCACAGGTGCGTGTGCGCTCAGGAAAGTACACCAGACACAAAGCAAAGCGAGACCTTGTGCTCGTCAGCTACCAGAGGTGCGAGTGCCCTGTCCTGGTCACATGGCCCGGCTGGGGCAGCGGAAGTGAAGCCCAGCTCGGCCCCTGGCTCCAAGCCCGCTCAGTGATGTTTCAGTTACAGGCCCGGGGCTGCCCCTAGCTCTGCAGGCAGGACACGGAGAGAAGGCCCGGGAACACAGGCCCTGGAATAGCAGGACGGCCCCGCTCGGTGGTCTGTCTCCCATCCCAGCCACCCTGGCCTTGTCGCATCTGCCTGGCCCCGTGTGACTGGTTGAATCACCCTGGATGTGGGAGCAAGGCCCCAGGATGAGGCTGTCAGCTCGGACCAGGCATGATTCTGAGCAACACCCAGTGTCAAGGGATGGAGCTCCACGCCATCAAAGTCCCCGGTGGCGTCAACACCAACGCCAGGTGGCTGGTCCTGTCACCCCAAGATAGGCCCCTGAAAGCAGGATTTTCCAGGTCACTGGTCTCAGCCAGAGTGACGACAGTTTCAGGAGGAGGGGACGTCAGGGTGGAGTAGCGCTCTGTCCCTTCCGTGTTGACTCTTGGAAGCTTCCGGTCCCCAGGCACCCAGGCCATCAGTGTGCAGGGTTGCCTTGCCCCAGCAGCCGCACCAGGGCTCTGGAAAGATGGCATTCGGCCGACGTGGGCATTCTCGGGTGGATCAGCAACCCCTGCAGGACCCTGAAATCTGGAACCACCCCCAGCCTGGGACGCCCGGCGATGCCCAGCCTCATGCGTGGCCTGGAAGCCACGCAGCCCGCAGACCAACTGGACACGGAGGCCCTCGAGCATGAGCCCGGCTGTGCGGGTTCCGAGGCTGTCCGCCCTCAGCCTGACCCCAGCGCCGCCCGCCCCAGCGGCGGCCAGACTGCACGCCCTGACCCCCGGCGGTGAACTCGTGCGGTAGCCTTCAAGGCCACCGTGTGGTAGAACACACGCGACACGTTTCCCATCTTACCCACTTTTGCGACGGTTCGGCGGAACCAAGTGCATTTCGCATCGTCCAGCTGTGGAAAGTGTCCCCGTTCAAGGGCACGCCCCTTCCCCAGCCCCCCGCGCCACCGTCTGCGCTCCGTCTGCGTGGGCGAGGCGGCTCCAGGGCCCTCCACGCAGTGCGGTTCGCGTGGCGTGTGTCCCTCGGGGACCGGCTTATCCGGTGCAGCACCCGTGAGCACACGGCGCAGCCGGGTTGTAGCGGGTCAGCATGGCCCCCGGTTTCCTGATCCGGGCATCAGGTAACGGACACTGGGGCGGCTTCCACATCGTGGCTCCTGGGAAGGATGCCGCTGTGCACACGGCGTGCGGGCAGCCGGGTCGCTGTCTCGGGGCACCTGCCCAGACCTGGGACAGCTGGATCATGCGGTGATTCTGTGTTTGACCCTTCGAGGAGCTGTCCCACTGTTTTCCGCAGTGGCTGCACCATTTTACACCCCCACCCGCGGGGACTGTGTTTGGAGGTGGCCATCTTCCCGCGTGTGAGGGTCTCCTGTGTCACCAGCATCTGCCGCCTTGGCTGCGCGTACGGACGGGCTGAGGGGTGCAGGGTGGGGCGGGTGTGGGAAGCCTGCGTGGGGTGGGCACCGAGCTGGGCGTCCCGAGCATCATCCGTCTGACCCGCTGATGCCTCGGGCACAGGCCGTCCAAGTCCCCGGTGGCGTCAACACCAACGCCAGGTGGCTGGTCCTGTCACCCCAAGATAGGCCCCTGAAAGCAGCATTTTCCAGGTCGATACCCACTGTCTGCTGCTGTCCCCAGCAATGCCATGCGGACATGAGGCCCTGGCCTCCTCTTTCGGGCCTGGAGTCAGATGCCCTCTCAGGAGTCCCCCGGTCTCGTATGAGCTGCAGGAGGGCAGCGCTGGGTCCTCCTCACCCAGACAGTGCCCACTCTGGCCACCCATCCCCAGTGCTGATCAGACCCTGCCACTCCCTCTGCACAGAGCCCTCCGTGGCTTCCCAGTGCTCTGGTGTAGAGGCTGACTTCGAGGCCTCCATCCTGTTCCCTCGTGTCCCCTCCCCCTAAGGCTCTCTGCCCTCCCTGCCCCCACCCAGGGACTTCAGCCATCAGTCAGGTCTCAGCTCAGATGTCCGGTCCTCAGGGACCACACGGCAGGTGGTGTGCTCCGGGTCATCCTCTGTGGAGGCGGTGACTCTCAGGGCCCTCTCCGTAGTGAGTCATCTGTCCATCTGTCACCGGGCCATCACCTGACTCCCTCTGCGTTTCCCGGGGCTGTGAGCTCCTGAGCGGAGGGACCATCTCTGGTGATCAGTGTGGTCTGGGGCACAGCAAGCGCCTGTCGGTATTGAAGTGCTGACAGCTGGGACACAGTGGCCCCTACAAATGCTGACAAGGACGGCCATCCATCAGTCCTTCTACTTCTCCTTTCCTGCAAGAGCTGTAGGGAGCATGGAGCGGGGGTGGGGGCATGGCTGAGGCCACGGGCCAGGGGCTGGCTGGGCCAGGAGAGGAGGCAGGTCTGGGCAGGGCTGCGGGGACCCTGGGGTGGTAAGAGAGGACAGAGCACCATGTCGGCTCCTCCGTGCTCCGGAGTCCTTGCTCACCTCCCTGGGAAGTCACACGTCCTTGCAGATTCCAGGGCCCCCAAGACCATGACACACCAACTGGGCAAACGGACAAGGTGCTGGGGCTGGGGTCGTGCAATCAAACCCTCACCTTCACCTTCACCGAGGCCCGGAGTGTTGGCCACTTGTCCAGGGTCACTCATTAAGTTGGGTCCAGAACAGAGGCTGCCCAGTCCACCACCGCTACTGACCCTCATGGCCATGTGGGCAGGGACTCCCCCTCACCATACAGAGTGCTCATGGGGGAGGTTAGGTTGGGGTCTTAGATCTCAGATCCAGGCCCGGACAGCGTACCGTTACTAATTGCTTGTTGGTTCCTTGTCAAGTGCCAAAACCCAGGACTGTGAACAGTGTTTTAAATAAAAAATCTTTAAATTTAAAGCTTTAGGTTTATTTTTATTTATTTATTTTTAAAGCTTTAAGTTTAAAAGACAAGTAATCAGGAGACGAGAAGCAAAAAGGAAGTACCAGGCACTATAGGGAGGTACTGAAAATTAACTTTAAATATGAGCTTCCTGGCAGCCGGGGCAAAAGGAAAATATGTTGGTTGTACTTATAAACGGTCCAAGAGAGTGTCTGAAATAAAGAGAAATCAGATGCCCCATGAGAATTAAAGAGTCAATCCATGATGGAGAAACTAAAGGAATGCCCCCTTTGTGGGGCAGGATGGACACTGACTGGAGGAGGACTTAGCTGAGAACTGACTGAAGCAGTTACTGTCTCTAAAGAAAGGGGCTCTGTTCATCAGAGATGCAAAGGAAAGAGAAGGTCGCCCAGGGAGGGCTGTGCATGCTTTTGCAGCACCGCCAGGGCGAGGGTGCCATGCCCAAACCCCCACTTGCTGGTCCCAGAGGCCGGCCCAGCTCCGCAGGTGCCGGGGACCTCAGAGCCCTAGGAGTCTGAGCTGCCTCTAGGCTCACTGAGCTGCCACCCAGTGTCCGGCGCCATCCCCACGGCCAGGGACACCCGCAAGACAGGAGGCCTCTCAGCTGTGGGTGTCCAGATCCCCTCCTTGGCCTTGTCCCCCTAGATGGTGCCAAAGCTGCCAGGCATCAGAGTCTGGATGGCAGGGATCCACCTGGGTGACAATGCCCTCTGAGGCCCTGGGAGCGGCTGCCAACCTTCCCACAACCCTTGGCCATTTGGTGGCATCGCTGTTGGTTGGCCTGCCCTTCCTTTGGGCCCCTTTGGGTTTCCCTCTGGGTAAGGTGGGGCCCAAGTCCTGTGCCTGCTCCGAGGAGGGTATGGGAGCCCCGCCTGGACAATTAGAGCCCCACACGCTCCTGTGGCCCAGATGATCGGTTCAGGGGTGAGCATGTGATCTAAGACAGGCCAGTCAGAGCCAATGGGCTATGCCTGGGGTGAGAGTCTGTCCCTCAATTGCTGGGGTCACCTCCCTCCTCCCTGGAGAGGACTCACCCAGAGAAAGGCCCAGCAGCTGGGGGTGGGGGAGAGGGCGGGTGCTGTCTGAGCATGTCCATCCAGCCGGTCGGAAAAGAAGGCTCCCCAAGTGGCCCAGTGAGACAGATGGACACCTGTGCTCTCCGTGGGAGCTCCAGTGAGACGGACAGACACCTGTGCTCTCCCGTGGGAGCCCCAGTGAGACGGACGGACACCTGTGCTCTCCGTGGGAGCCCCAGTGAGACGGACGGACTCCTGTGCTCTCCGTGGGAGCCCCAGTGAGACGGACGGACTCCTGTGCTCCCTGGGAGTTTCCATTCCACAGGGTGCAGATAAGAGTTGGTAGGCAGTGCTGGCCTTGGGAATGGAACAGCAGCGTAGGAGTAGGACCACTGTTTTAGAGAAGGTGTTTTGAGAGACTCACAGGAGGTGAGGCTACCTGGGGGCCGAGCATTCCGGGAAGAGGGGGCAGGAAGTGAAAAGGTGTTGAGGCAGGAACATGCTGGGTTTAAGGAAGAGCAGGGAGACCTCTGAGGCCGGAGCAGACTGTGTGAGCGAGGGGTGTGTGGCAGCAAATGGGGTCCTGGAGGCAACAGGGAGCCAGAGGGAGAGGGGCCTTTGGGTCACTGAAAGGATCTGGCTCTTTCTGAATTAGGTGGGGAGGGACAGGGAGGCATGGGGCCATGGACATGTTTTGAATGGCATCTGGGCTGCAGCGTGGAGGTGAGTGGGCTGGGGGTGGGGGGAGGTGGGGGGCAGGAGAGCAGAGAGGCTGGGCCCATGCGGGTAGGCACAGGGCTGGGGGGGAGCAGATGGAGGGAGACGGTTCACTGCAGCTCCCTCCTAGCCCTCCTACGTACGTTCTGGGAGGAGAACATTTTATTAGCTTATTAAGGAAGATTCATGCAGTTTGTATGGTTGATCTGAATAAAAAAGGAACTTTATGCACATTGGAATTCAGAAGCAGTATGAGAAGAGACATTTTTTTCCAGTGACGCGCCTTGGGTAGAGTTGTTATAACTGACAAATTACGTGAAGCACGTCATAATACAAACAAATGAAGAGTCAGCCCCAGCGTTTTTTAAAACACTAGCTTGTTGGATTTCTCAAGACATGACCGGGCGTGGAGGGAGGGCAAGACAGCCAGCCTGGACAGTGGCCGAATATAGCTGGGTGCAGACCTTCCTACACACGATCCCGTCCATGCTGCACAGCGGGGCGTTGGGGGGTGGGGTGCAGAGGCCGCAACTGTCATGTCAGGGCAAAAATGCACCAGGGTCAGAGCTATGTACAAGGGGACCCAGAGGGGCTCAGCAGTGGCCAGGGCCCCGCCCTGCCATTCCACAGACTCTAGCTCAGCAACTCATGGGCATGCTGTGTGTCTTGGGGAAAGCCTCTAACCCTCTCTGAGCCTCAGTTTCCTTATGTGTACAGTGGGGAAGAAACATTCATCTCACGAAATTCCTGCAAGGACCACATTCAGGGAAGATGGCGAGGGCTGTTCAGACACTGAGTGTCTCTGCTGCCAAGTGACCTCGGGGAGCCTGGGAACAGACCCCATGCCTGCCCTGAGTCCCTCCGTGCTGACTGCTGCACTGGCCATCACGGTGTTCGGGGGTTGACTCGTGTCCCATCAAAAGCTATGCCCAAGTCCTAAACCCTGTACCTGTGAATGTGCCCTTATTTGGAAACAGGGTCTTTGCAGCTGGAATCGAGTTAGGATGAGGCCAGTAGGTTGGCCCTAATCCAGTATGACTGGTGTCCTTATATGAAAGGGGAACTGGCACAGAGACACGCAGGGGAGAGCAGCAGGTGAGGAGGGAGGCAGAGGGGGCAGCAACGTCGTGGGCAGGCCAGGGAGCACCAGGAGAGGAAGAAGCCGGGAGTGTCCTCCCTTACAGGCTTCAGAGGGAGCGCAGCCCTGCTGACACCTTGCCCTTGGACTCGAGCTTCCAGAGCCGAGACTGCAGGCGCGTGCATCTGTGAGCCGCCGGGCGCGACCGTGCTCTCAGCCATAGGAAGCTAATACCCATCTTTGTCCACGTCCCTGCAGGTGGAGCCTGCGCTCCAGGCTTACCTCTGCGGGCTGGACGTGGCCGCCTCGGGGGCCTTCTGGCCAGGCTGGGGCTCATCCGGCAGGTTCAGCTCCAAGATGTAGTGCATCTGGGTGAGGAGGGCCAGGAGCAGCTCGGGGTAGGCCTCCTGCACCGCCTTCTTGAACTCTCGGGCAAACTGCAGCTCACGCAGGGTGTTCATGGCCTGTCGGGGGCAGGGGCACATCTGACCTGTGTCTTCCTCCTGTCACGGCCTCTGGGACCAGGGCCATATCTCTGAGATGTCCCTCGGGGGGCCCTGGCCTTCTCCGCTCCCTCCCTGGACCCACTTGAGGGCCTGTGCCCTCCATCCCAGCAGCGCCCGGGACAGCGCCCCCACCGGCCCATTCTGTCTGCAGTCCACCCGTGTCCAGCCCCTGATCCATGGCCTAGCGACAAGGCTGCATGGGTCTGTGCTCCCCATGGGACGTCAGCAGAGGTCTCTAACGAGTGACAGCCGGGGGGACACATGACCCCGGAAGGCAGGGCTACCCGACAGCTGCTCTGAGCTTCCTGTGCCCATCGGAGCATTCGGTCCAGAATGTTCTTGGGGTGGGGGACAGCACTGGGCAGTCATGACAAGGGCAGGCCAGGGCTTGGGGTGTGGCGGGACACAGAGAAGGCCCCCTGCTGGCCCCATGCTGCTGTGTGGTTTCGAAAGGAAGGGCCGGCAGCAGTGGGGGGCTGGGGTGCTCAGGAGAAGGACAGAGGGCCGGGCGCAGACACAGGGTGGAGCTCCCCTCTGCTGCTGTGTTCAGCCCTCGCACACCTGTGCTCAGGTAGCAGCATGTCTGGGGGGCTCTGGGGTGGGGGGTGTGGGTCTCAGCCTGGGAGAAAACGGGCTCGGGCCACAGCTCCTGCCTCATCAGAGTCCAGCCACGGACAGGTGTGGCCGTGTTAGGACGTGAGCCCCTGTTCCTGTGGCCTTGCAGGGAGGAGAGCTGGCTTGGGCGGGGGTTCCTACAGGAGGCAGGAGGCAGCCTCAAGATTCCTCCAAAATCTACAACCCCAGGCCCCAAGTGTGGACAGAGGGGCCACCATTGTCCCCACACTCTTCCTCTGCCGGAACCTGTCTCCCGAAGCCCCTGTGCTCCGAGGCCACCCACCCAGTGAGTCCCGCATCCTGGGTACGCGCCACACGCCTGGTCCAGCCCTGCAGGACCACCACTGTCCCACTTCTTAGAGGGGGGGACAGGCTCTGTAGCAGTCCAGAGCCCTCGGCCAGGAAGTGGGGGGCTGGGCCTGTGCGGTCAACCCCTGCCCCGCAGCCTCGGAGGCCCCCTGTGGGTGGGCTTCCACGGCCTGGACACGGGGCTGCCCCTCCCTGGGGCCCGGCGTCCCGAGGCTGCGCCCGATGCCACCAGTATGGACATGTGCAGGAGAGACCAGCCCCCACTCGGCGGCAGCTGGGGCGGCGGCCAGGGAGCGGCAGCGGACACTCACGGCGAGCGAGCGCAGGCGGGGCTTATCCTTGGGCTGGGGGCTGCCGTCTCTGGTCCCGGCGGGCAGCGGCCGCTCCTGCAGCCAGGCCAGCAGCATGGCCAGTACCAGGCGGCTCACGGGCTGCTCGGCCCCCAGGGCCCTCCACAAGCGGAAGGCGTGGCTGCAGGCAAAGAGGGGTCATGAGGGCAGCCCTGCTCATGCTCAGCTGCACCAGCAGGCCACCAGGGCCTCAGGGGCCAAGGGAGGAGGCTGGGCTGGATCCCGCATTGGATCCTGGCCGCGGGGAGCCCCTGGGGTGGAGGAGAGCATGGAGGGGAGAGTGGGCAGCGGGGACAGGAGTGTGTGTGGCCCGTGGGACAGGCGGGGGACAGAGGGACAGCCGCCCTGGTCCAGGTGCCTGGGCCTCCCCACTTCCAGGGTCTGTCCTCCAGGCTCCCCGCACCCCAACTTCAGACTCTCTGCCCCCTCAACGGCTCCTAAGTACTGATGGACACATGCAGTTGACCCCTGCCCTCTGTTCTCTTCTCTTGCCTCTGGGCCTCCACATCTGCCATTGCTCCCCGTGCTTAGAGCACGCCTCCCCACCGGGCCTGCACCCACTCGGCCCTCAGCAGCTCTGTCTGGAGGCCTGCCCTGGCTGCCTGCTCCTAGCCTGGGTTTGCTGGGGTCCAGCCCCCGGGCCCACCCCGGGTCAAGTGGGCCCATCAGCGGTATACACAGAGCTTTACAGTGTCCTTGTGCTCATTTTGCAGATGGGGAAACTGAGGACTGATCGGGCCCTGCCTGTGACTGGGGAGCTGGGGCTAGAGGCCAGGTCTGCCTGGTCCTGTGATCTTTCCACTTGGTCCACGGACATGGACCTGTGAGTCCTGGGGAGGCGGGGGCTTTGGGGTTCTTGAGATGTCGGTGACCCTGATGGCTCTCTGTTTTCTGTGGTCTTTGGTGCCAAGTGTTGGGTAAAAGGGGCTGGAGGGGCAGGAGTGGGGACTGGGAGGCCACAGTGGGGGCCTGGATAAGCCCCCACCCCAGCTTTAGAACAGACCCTGGGCTGGGTGGGCACAGCAGCTCCGAGGACTCTGAGATTGTAGAGCGGGGCCTCCGTTGTCAGAAGGACCCGGGCCGAGTCCCTGCTGTGTCATCACAGCTGTGCCGTGGGCAGGCCTCAGGGGGCAGAGCCTGACTCGAGAGGCTTAGGTGACATGCTTCTGCAGGAGCAAGGGTGCCCAGGGGCCTGGGTTTCTCCTTTGCTCTGTTGGCATGTGGGTGCTGAGCCCCGTGTCACGTGCGGGCAACCAACTTGGGGATAGAGCAGTGACAGAACCGGTAAAGTCCTTGCCTGTGTGGGAGTGACCCCTCCGGTTCCACTCAGCCAGCAAACAAGGGTGTGTCGGACTAAGTGCATGAAGCAGGGGAGGAGAGGGGATGGGGGATGGAAGGGGGGCGGTGGGAGGGTGCTTCTGGGCTGTGGTCAGTTTTTACTGGGACAGCTGGGAAGCCTTCACCAAAAAGGGACACAAGGAAAGATCTGTGGAGGTAAGTGGGGAGCCACGCTGCTCTGGGGGGTGGGGGGAGGAGAGCCTTGTGGCCCTGACACGAGCCGATCTTGGTGCTCTCAGGGCCAGCAAGAAGGGCCAGTGAGGTCGGGGTGAAGAATGGGGCTGGCCGAGGAGGACAGCCAGTGCGTGGGGCCAGGCCACACGACCTTGTTGGCTACCGTAAAGGTTTTGCCTTGACTTTGAATGAGGTGGGGCCGCTGAGGGTCTACAGCAGGGGAGAGACATGGTCCGACTTATCTCTAAAGCCTCACTCTGGCTGCTGGGAGGGAGGGGCGGACATGGCCAGGGACTCCGTGTGAGCCGGTGATGTCCCGATGGGCTGGAGGGGATGGGGGAGGGGCGTGGGTAGAGCTGCAGGACTCCCTGAGGGTGGGCCTGGGTGTGGGGAGGACAGTCCAGGTGGCCCCAGGAACTCTGGCTTGAGAAGCTGGGTGGATGGCATCCGCACGGGGAAGCCCGCAAGACGACAGGTTTCAGGGGACAGCCAGTGGCGTGGTCCGGGAGTGTCCAGTGTGGAATGCCTCCTGGACATCCACATGCTGCTGTCTGGCGGGGTTGAGTGTTCGGGGGGGTGTCTGTATAGGTGATATTTAGAGCCCCGGGGTTAAAGGCGGCCACCAGGAAGGGGAGTGTGAGTGAGGGGAGCTCTGGGGACTGAGCCCCGTGCACCGATCCCCGGGGCACCAAGCCCCGTGGCCCCGTGCTGAGAGATGGGGAGTCAGGAAGGGACTGGCAGGAGGCGGAGCAGGGGCAGCTGGGAGGTGGGAGGAGAGCCAGGAAAACACATGGAGGAACCTGAAATGCATATTGTTGAGGCCAGTCCAAAAGGCTGCATGCTGTACAGTTCCAAATCCATGACCTTCTAGAAGAGGCAAAACCACGGAGACGGTAGATCGGTGGTTGTGAGGGTCCGGGGGGACCCAAAGGTTTTTTCCGGCAGTGACGCTACTCTGTAGGACGTGCGAGCGGTGGACACATTGCACACTGTCCAAGCCCACAGGACGCACAGCACCAGGGGCGAGCCCTACCTAGCCGTGGGCTTTCGTTAATGATGATGCATCAGTACCGGCCCTCCGGCTGGAGCAAACACACCGCCCCATGCAGGGTGCTAGCAGAGGACGACACCGGCGGGGCGGGCAGCTCTGCTTATTCTTCTATAAACACAAAACTGCTCCAAAAAAGAACGACTATTAATTAAGAAAAAAGAGCCGGGAAGAGACATGTGATGCATCACTAAGGAAAGAAAAGCTGGTGCTACTGGATTTATGTTACGACCGGCGACCCACATCTGAAAATCTGTGTTAATATTGGGCCAGAGGAAAGAAGTCTCCAAAGACGACACACGACACCATACTCTTCGATACAATTGGAAAAACTACAAGAGAATATTTTTAGGAATATGTTTAGCTGCAATAAAGTGAAAAAGAAATGAAGAGGGTGATGAGCCTTGGTGGGGGGTGAGCCGGCGGCTGAAGACTGGGAGTGCTAAGCCCTGTCCATAGCTGGAGGTCATGACCAAGATCCCAGCTTTTTGCGGGCGGGGGCCTCGCTGGCGTGTATTCATCGACTAAAAGGAGCCAGTGCTGTAAGAACCAAAGGCAGGCAGGCCCGCATACAGTGATGATGGACAGCATGACACGCTGAGGGTTATGCCTACGCCGGGGGTGTGCAGCTGAGGGCTGACCCAACAAAGTCGCCGTCAATGGGTAAAAGAGAAACACAGGAGAAAAAGAAAGAAAACTTGGCAAGCCAAGTGTAAGACTATTTAGAAATGCAAAATGCGAAGGGCCAAGAGCAGCGGGGCAGGTGTTGGGGTAGGAGGAGCCGGGAGGCCGTTCTTTATCAGGTGCAGAGAACGTGTATGATGCTACAGGAATTAGGACCATGGGTGTCAGCACGGGGACCAGCGAGCGGAGCACTGCTGAGCCCAGACACAGACCCCTGCCCACGGGCACTTGGCCGGGAGGCAGGTAGCACTGCGAGCTGTAGGCACGGGGCGGGCTTGTCCCTGAAGGATGCTGGTGGCTACACAGAACTGGAGTCCAACTTCACGGCCACACCAGCCTCACTTACGGGGCAGCTGGAGACCTGAGTTCGAAAGGCAATCACCAGAACTTTTGTAAGATCATGTGTGGGAAGGACTGAACCTGGAACTCCTTTTCATCAAAACGCACATTCAGGCAGTGAAAAAGACAAGCTGCAGAGTGCAAGGAGATGCTTTTCACACCATCAACAAAGGCCTTGTGTCCAGGTTACATAAAGGATTCCTGGGAATGGATGAGAAAAAGAGGGACAACCCAGTAGAAGGATGGATCGGAAGAGATCCTCGACGAAGAGATCACCAAAGAAGACACTCCAATGGCCAAAAGTTCCGCTCCGGTATTTCATCGGGAATGTGCAAATGAATGTCGCAATGCGATTCATACCACCAGGTTGGCTAACATTTTGATGAGTGGCTAGAAAGTCGGGGCTAAGTGTGGATGAAATGTGGAGCAACAGAAACTCTCAAAAATATCCCCGGTGGGAGTGTGAGGTGACATGAGCACTTTGGAAAACGATTCAGTGTGTCTGTTAAAGTTGGGTACACGCAGAGCTTTATGGCACTGATGTTTGCATGCTGAACACATCCCCAGTGGAGACGGAGTGCTGATGCACACGGGGGCGCGTGGGAGCAAGTCAGGGCACGTTAGTCACAGACCCAAGCAGGGGACAACCCAAATGTGTGTCTGTGGCAGAAAGGATGATCGTCATTCACGAGATACTAAACAGCAACAAGAAGGAATGAACTCTAGCTATATGTAACATATTGGAATGAATCGTAAACACATCCTGTTGAGGGGAAAAAGCCACATAACATAAAAGATTATCGGCAGGGTACCTACTACCCAATTCTGTTCATAGTGTTAGGGCACGCGCATTGTTTTAGGTGCTTCAAAGAAAGAAAAATTATCCCAGGTGGGAAGCTACCCCCATCACAGAGGTGGGACCTCAAGGGCCCTGTGTTCCATGTAAGGATGATAAGAACCAACCCACCCAGCTGCAGAAAGAAAAATCCAGGAAGCTTGCCGGCCTCAGTTGGAGTGCTGGATGGAAGGAGGGCCTTCTCCCGAGAATCTGAATCACAAAACCTGTTTTGGGGTGTGAATTCACACCGCCAGTGTGGCTCAAAGAAATCCTCAGGCACAGACTTTTAAATCTGGCATGGTCCCAGGCCAACAGTGTCCCCGGGCGACTGAGAAGCCCACATAAATCCAGGGGTAAGGCACCCTCAATGTAAAATGCATTCCCATCTAGGAAAAATGTGCTTCTTAGGATGGAGGAAATAAGGTATAAACGGCAATGCAGACCGAGGTGAGCTACAGACTTCTGGGCAGCTGAAGACAAGGTGGCCTCCAGGGTCCTCACCCTTCAAGTTTCCTTGAAAAACCACACAGAGCAAGAGGGAGGGAAAAGCAAAATTGCACAGAGACTGTGACCTCAGAGGATGCCCAAACTTCAACATCACTGTAAGGAAACAAGAGAAATGCCCGTCGCCGCCCACCCGGGGCTCTGGGGCAGCTGAGGCAGAAGAGACGGGAGGGCACAGGGGACGGGAGCCAGAAACAGGGCTCAGAGTCGAACCACTCACCTCCAGGAAGACGAAGTCCATCCCCAGTCCGACAAGAGGGAAAAAGAAGGAAAAAAGAGCACTGACCACGAGAAAGGGGCTGATGAGCTGGTCCAGTTGGAAGGGTGGCCTCCAAGATGCACAGCTCTGGGGAGAGAAATGGGAAAAAGAACCAGTGGCCTTGGGGATTGGGTGGTGACAGGGACAATGGGAAAGAGGAAAATGGAAGGCCCTGCGAGAGAAAAGAGAACCAAAACCCCCCAAAAAACAACCCCCAGCTGGAGGACATACGACCTTTTCACCTGCCACCAAGACAAAGAATCTACTAAAACCTCTAGACTTTGCTCTACTAACAGAAGAGGGTGCCATTGAACCTGAAATCCTATAAAACATGCCAACAGCGTTTGATAGGAACAGGAACAAAATTAACAGATCCACCGAGTTATTGCAAAAAACCCCCCCAAAAAACAAAACAGAAAAAATAATCCGTGCACAACCAAAGAGGAACTGCTCCCCTCCAAAGCAGCCGCCGTGCCGCCAGCACTCCGGCGATGCTCCTCAGACTCCAGCGAGCACCCGGAGACAGGTAAAGCCCCCTTGAATCATAACTTCAAAAAAAGAAAAAAAAAAAAAACACCTCTGTAAAGAAAGGAAAAGAGGGTTGACTGAGTTCAGGAAAGAGGTGGAAGAAAGGACAAACTTATCTCAGAAGTGGAAAAAAATGCAAGGTGCCCAAGAGGGATGATAAGATGTAAGCTAAGGGGCACTGAGGAAAAGCAGAAAGCTGACTGCAAAAGGCGTGAAAAGGATCAGAAAGTACTGGAGGTCGAGGACGGGCAGGAACCTCACTGGAATTCCTAGCAGCTCAGAAGGACAAGTGCAGCAGGGGAACAGAACGAATGTGTCAAGCTATCATCAGAGAGCTTTCCAGAAACAACAACAACAGAAGGCCTACATCTACATCTTCAAAGGATCTGCCAGGTCCCTGGGAGAATGAACACAGAGTGATCAACTCAGAGACATCTCTTAATAAAACTGTTCAATTTCAAAGGTGAGCAAACACTGGCCAAGGCATCCGGGAAGAAGGACCTCTTACAAAGGCAAACATCTTGACAAAGGCGAAAAAATAAATCATGATCATTAGACTTTTCAAAAACAAAGCAAGGCGACAATTGAGCAGCATTTGAAAAATACTCAGTGAAAGCAAGTGTGAACCAAGGATTTTATGTCCAGCCAAGTTGTCCTTCAAGCACACAGGAGCCCCTCAGGGGCCGTCTGTCGGAGGTGGGTCTGGTCCAGCGCAGAGAGGACTAGGAGCCTCCGGCAGAGGATGCACAATGAAAGCTTCAGCAACAAAACAAGGGACGGGGGAGTTAAAATAGGTCAGGAGCACTAGCATGACAACCACTGCAAAAATACACCTCTTCTTTAATTAAAAACATTAAGGATCAAAGAATACACAACCCGTAGAAAAGGAAAGTAATAGAGCCCACGAAACATGCACACAACTATGGGGCATTATGATAGAGCGGAGACTCCACACACCAGTCATGTGAGTAAGTGTGAAGGAAGGATTTCCCTCACTTATTAGACATGACTGGTGTGTGACAAACACACCGGGCCAGAGCGGCAAACGAAGAAAGCAGAGGGGCTTCTGTGGTCCTGACAACCGGTGGAATTGAGGCCGGGACACATTAAATGTGACAAGGCGGGGCACTTCTCAATGCTAACAAGTCGTGATTCCTAAGGAAGGTATATGTTTGCACAAAAAACATGACAACCACGTATGACGTAAAAACTGCAGGACACGGAAGGGGCCGTGGATAGAAACGCATTAGTAATGACTTCAACGTGCCATATTCTCAGTACAAGACAGAATGGAGGGGACACCCGTGAAATCGGTGACGACCACAGTCCATCAGGCACGTCCACGGATATACATACGCCACCACCTGAGGAAGAAGACATACCTTCTTCCCAAGTGCCTGTAGAACATTCACGACGGTTCAAAAGGGCAGCAGGTCCCAATAAGGCAGAAACATTACAATGGCATTCTCTGATCCCAGTGCAAAAAAACTGGAAGTTATAGAAACACGACGACCCTTCCACATGGAAATCAGAAGTCTTTCTGGAAATGAGTCTCGGGCGCTGGGAGCTTGTGGGAGTTCTCTTCTGGGGGCTTCTGATTTCTCAGTGGGATGGGAGAAAGGTTGGCGGCCGAGGGAAGGGGCAGGGTGAGGCAGAGAGGTGTGTGGCTGGGAATTCAAAATGGGGAGCTTTAACTGAGGGAGGTTTTGCCGGCTGAGTGTGACGGAGGGGATCAGGGGCTTGGGGTACGTCCAGGGAGTAACTAATGCTGGTAAGGAGGGGGTGAGGGTGGGTGAGGGGCGCTGAGAAGGTGGGTGGGTGGTGGACCAGAGGCCGCGGAGGGCAGAGGCTCACGGGGGTGCCGGAGGAGGGAAGCCGTGAGGAGGGTGGGGAGGGACGCTCCAGCCTGGAGGTGTCCGAGCCAAGAGGCTGACCGTGAGAGTGGGCGGCTGAGGCAGGGTGGAGGACGGGACTGCTGGGAGAGAGGAGGTCCAGGCATTGAGAAGTGGGGCTGAAGGAAAACCCCACGATTCAGACGGGGCGGTGGGTGAGACGGTGTCCGTGATCGGGAGCAGCATCGGCAAGGACCTAGGGATGACGCAGTCCAGGTGCCTGGTGGGTGTGCGGCTGGGGTTATAGACGGAGCGCCTGGGCTTCAGAGCCGAGATTTGTGGGAGGAAGAAGACCCTAGCCCACCTCCAGACTCGGGGCTCCGAGGGTTTCATGAGAAAGCCAGCCCCACCGGAAAGGAGTGTGGTGACCACTGGGGGTGGGGGAGGAAGGAGAGGTCTTTGGAGGATCAGGAAGGATGGCAAGACTTTGGTGTTGGCTGGGGTCTTGCCAGGGGCACCTCAGGTCCTGGGCACTTCCCCCATGAGGTGACAGGTGATTCAGGCTGGGGCAGGGGTAGCATGAAGGGTGAGCTGTGCCTCCCCAGAGCCCGCCTCAGCAGATGCGCAATAAATGCAGGGGGACGTGGGCTCCCTCCCTGGGCCCAGACCTGTGAGGGTCCCTGTGGGCTGGGAGGGGGCAGGCAGGAGGGCAGAGCTGGAGGTGGAGGCCCCACCCCCTGCCTGGGGGAGGCTGGAGGGTGGGCAGTGGGGGCAGTGAGGGAGGGTGGGGCCGGGCACCTGTCCAGGGGTATGGAGAAGTCCAGGAAGGTGGCCACCAACTCTGGTGTGTGGTTCCGGGCTAGCAGGGTGATGGCGTGCAGGGCATTTTCCTTGGCTTGGGGGACGCGGACAGAGCAGAGCTGCAAGTGGATGGCTCGGCCCAGCTTGGCAACCTGTGTAGGGAGGCAGAGTATGGGGGAGAGGGCTGGTCTGAGAGGGGAGGCCAGGCCCCGCCCAGCGAAGTCTGAGGGAGGCGCTTCTCCACCTTGGAGTCCCAGGCTGAGGGGAGAGAGGCCCCAGCACCTTTCGTGTGGCATGTGAGGCCCTCAGACTCCGTCCAAACACTGCCCAGTCCCTGGAAGGCTCAGACACACCCGCCCCGACATCTCCCGAGCACACCACTTTGGCATAGGCTGTCCTGGGGGCCTGGAAGGCCTCTCCCCGTCCACTTCCGGTCTCTCTTGCTGCCCAGGTCCAGTGTCACCCACCTGGGGCTTCCTTACCTGCAGGACTTGGCATCCATCATCCTGTTTCTGGGGGTGCACCCCCACCCCACTGGGGACACTTCGTTGCCTTTGCATTTCCTACGCTGTCCAGTCCTTATCTGTGTCTGTCCCTTCCGTCAGACTGAGAACTTCCAGGAGGGTCTGTGCCTTCTCCTCCCCCATGTCCTACCCCAGAGCCTGGAACAGCGGCGCCATCCATGCACGCGTGCCCCATGACCCTGCAAACACCACTCGGGGCCCCAGGACACCTGCTTGGGCCTTTCATTCATTCCGTGGAACCTGTCAGGGTGGGGTCCGTGTCTCCTGCATCAGGCCCGAGCCCCAGGGTGCTGACTGCCGGGCGTCCGTCCCTCTGCCCCCAGACCTGTCCTGGCCCACCCTCAGCGGTGCCCCAGCCCCTCACGGTCTCCAGGCTGGCCCCGTGCTCCTTGATGGTGGTGAGCAGCATGTCGGCGGCTGCCTGAACGCGGAAGGGGCTGGTGGAGCCCAGGCCGTCGATGGCTGTCCAGATGAGGTCGTTCAACTCTACCGTCGTGAGATGCTTCATGACCTCCTGTAGCAGCAGGAGAGGAGGCAGCTGTCACTGTGGGCCACTTGTGCCCAGGTGTCCGCCTCCTGCCAGCTCTCTTCCCTTCTCCTTGGGCTTCAGGCTGCCCAGGTCTCTGAGCACATCCAGACGTCTAAGCCCCTCTCCTCCAGAACCCCACACGTGCAGCCCATTTTGCAGGCTGGCTGCCTGTGCATCTCTCTGAGCCAACCATGGCCCAGGTTCAGGAAGGGAGAGCGTGATGCCCATCGTGGGGCAGAGGCACGGCTCCCTTCCTCACTCAGACCCCAGTGCTTGTCCTGGGACCTGCCTGGCCCGGCCAGCCTCCTTTCCTCCCCTCCTCTGCCCTGTCCTCACCTCGTGGGCTTCCCCATGTATTAGCCTCTGCCCAGCTGGGTGCTCCCCATGCCAGGCCCTAGTCCTCCTTACAGCATTTTAATCAAGAGCTTCAGAGCTGTGAAGGGTCTTCAAGGTCACCTGGACCAATCCCCAGACCCAGAGAGGGGCACGGGCACCCTCACCACGGCAGAAGCTGGGTCCAGAGCCCAGGGCTCCTGATCCATGGTAGGGCTTCCTCAAAAGCCCAACCGCTTTCTGCCCACGTTCTCCCAGGAGCAGCTCTAAGTCCAGATCATGAGCCACTCAGGGGGAATGAAGAGGGGCTTGGGGAAATGCAACGTGGTGGGTGGGACCCCTGCTCCATAGCCACTGACCACAGTCTCTGAGAGGGAGGGCTGGGCCAGCCTGGGGCTGCCCAGGTAGAACCTTCTGGAAAGACTTAGAGCATTGTTGCCCACTATGGTAGCCACCAGCCACACGTAGCTATTTATACTTAAACTTAATTAAGTAGAATTTAAAACCTCAGTTCCTCGGGAGCACTAGCCACATGACAAGTGCCCAGTAGCCACATATAGCCAGTGGCTACCTTGGTAGTGCAGATAGAGACATTTCCATCCTCCTAGAAAGTTCTATTGGGAGGCTCTGACTCAGAGCATCTGACAATCAGAGGAAGACAGAAGGCTGGTGACAGGGGGCCTGATAGAAAACTATAAAGTCTGCAAGGACATTAAGGGGGGTAACATGTTTCTTTGCATGTTAGGATATTTGTCGAGATATTTGAAAGTCTGTTAGTCTACCTACTTAGATATAAAAATAAGTATTAAATAATGTTTGAATATTTATTAGAATAATCTAAAATTTTGGTAAAATGTCTGTGAGAATATTAGGATTAGTTGTTGGTTAGAGTATTCAAAGTGATTTTAGAGGAATATTTGTAGTTCATAACAACTTTTAAAAAAGGATATTAAGCTGCTATAAATCTGGTTAGAACATTTGTTAGAAGATTACATTTAAAATTGTTTTCTGAAATGTTGAATTTTGGTTAAAGTTCTAGCATTGAGAATGTTTGTGAAGAAATGCAACTTGGAATGGTGGTTAGATTCTCAGAATCCCAGAATACTGCAATCTCAAGATTGGAAAATACCTGGGAGATGTCTTACTTTAACCCAGGGCATGAATCAATGTGAAACGGAGGTGGCAGTAATGGTAGAGATGGTGGTGATGATGGTGATGGTGGTGATGATGGTGATGGTGGTGGAGGTGATGATCCTGGTGATGCTGGTGATGATGATGATGGTGGTGGAGGTGATGATGATGATGGTGGTGGTGGTGATGGTGATGGTGGTGGAGGTGATGGCGGTGATGATGGTGATGGTGGTGATGGTGATGATGATGGTGATGATGATGATGATGGTGATGGTGGTGGTGATGGTGGTGATGATGGTGATGGTGATGGTGATGATGATGGTGATGATGGTGATGGTGGTGGTGATGGTGGTGATGGTGGTGGTTGATAATGGTGATGGTGGTGGTGATGATGATGGTGGTGGAGGTGATGGTGGTGATGGTGATGATGATGGTGATGGTGGTGGAGGTGATGGCAGTGATGACAGTGATGGTGGTGATGATGGTGATGATGATGATGGTGGTGGTGGTGGTGATGGCGGTGATGATGGTGATGGTGATGGAGGTGATGGCAGTGATGACGGTGATGGTGGTGATGATGGTGATGATGATGATGGTGGTGGTGGTGGTGATGGTGGTGATGATGGTGATGGTGATGGTGGTGGTGGTGGTTGATAATGGTGATGGTGATGGTGATGATGATGGTGATGGTGGTGATGATGGTGATGGTGATGGTGGTGATGGTGGTGATGATGGTGATGGTGGTGATGGTGATGGTGGTGACGATGGTGATGGTGGTTGATAATGGTGATGATGGTGGTGGTGGTGATCTGTGGTGGTGATGGTGATGATGGGATGGCGGTGATGATGGTGATGGTGGTGGAGGTGATGGCAGTGATGGCGATGATGATGGTGGTGGAGGTGATGATGGTGATGAAGGTGTAGTGTATCCATGATCAATGAGGGCATCAAGGACAGACTTGGGGACAGAATCCAGGTCAGGTCTCCATTCCAAACCTTCCCAATCCACCATCCCTTGATCAGCAGACCCTCCCATCCTCTCTCCTCTCTGTGCTCCTTTCCATCACTGTGTCTTGTCCAAGGAGAGAGAGCCAGAGCTGAACGCCCACTCCCTGTGTGCTGGGACAGGGCAGGATACAGAAGGCTTCTCAGTCTATTTGAGAGCCTGGGTGTTTAGTATGGAAAATCTAAAGCCCTGGGGCCCCTTCACCACTGTCTGCCTCTGAGCTGCTAGCCAGGGAACCCTCCTGCCCTGCCCCACCTCTGCTCCCAGCCCAGGTTCTTTGGCATAAACTAGGCTTACCCATTCTGGGACTGGAGACTTGATGTATTGGCCCCCGGGCTTTAGACTTTCCATACTTAAGCCCTAATTGACTGTAGCACTGAAAGCCCAGTGCACTTGCAGAGAACACAGTGCAGAGAACACGGGTCAGCCGGGACTGGATTCAGAACTTGCTGGGTCACTCACTAGCTGTATGCAACCACTGCTTCCTCGTTTGGTTCAATCTGGTTTAACTTAATGGGTGGCTCTACCACCAGGCCCTGCACCGGGCCCTGGCAGGGCCCTGCTTCTGGCCTGGAGGGCTCAAAGTCTAACAGGGGGACACTGACAAGCATACCACGTACGGGGGTCTTCATTAGCCAAGTGCTCAACACCAAGACTGGGCAACAAAGTCACCATGTCAGAGACATCATGGACTGACCACTCAGAACATGAGGCTCCATGAAACATGGCTTGTCCTGCCAACACTTGCATCCAGCCCACACTCTGTGCCCCAGCCTCACTCATGTTCAGAAGAGAACACAAGTCAACACAAGAAAACACAGAGCGTCACAAAGTTACAGGATCTCACTGGGGTGACAGAAGGGACACTGGGGACTGCTGGGCTCCCCCAGGCAGCTGACCAAGGAGGAGCTGGCTGAGGTCGGCCAGATGACAGTGCAAAAGAAGACAAGCTCTGCCTTCACAGGAGGAGGGTCTGGCTTTCAGAGGGTAAGAGAGGCCCCTGGGAAAATGAGGCATGTGGGGATATTTCTGCAGAGTGCTCATCCTGCAAAAGAACAGACTCAAAGGGCAGGATGTCGTATGGTGCCTTGGAGAACACCTACCATGGGAGCATCCTGAAAACACCATTACTGGGTGCTCATGCTGGCCAGGACTTCACAGCACCACTCTACCCATTTTACAGAAGAAGACAGAGGCTCAGAGAGGAGAAGGGGCTTGTCTAGGTCACACAGCCAGGAGGGACAGAGCTGGGACTCAAGCCTGGGGTACTGACCTCAGGGTCTGTCCCTGGCCCCTCCCTCCAATTTCCCCTCCTCCAACTCCTCAGTCCCGGGCCAAGGGCCAGGGACTTCTTGAAATACTCTCAGTTAATCATCAAAGATACAGGTGAGATCCCAGCCTTGGCTTTAATACTCACACCTGGCCCAGGCTCTGACCCCCTGGGTCTAGCCAGGCCACGCCGACAGCTGGAAGCCCTGTCAGAGGGGACGGTGGTGGGGGTCAGAGCAGAACATGGCCATACCTCCCCACCCGGACCTGCCCTCCATTCTAAGGGCTTGGACCTTGATGACTTGGGAGCTGCCAAGCTGGAGGATGCCATCCTTCGGGAATGCCATCTTCTGAGGGGTGGTGGGAGCTGTCTTCTGGTCTCCGCTGCTCCAGACGGGAGCCCCATCCACACTGGCCTGGACAAGCTGCTCGGGGGCCTGCACCTCCACCTTTGGAGTTCCCCTCACTGGCCAGGGGTGGGAGTGGGCAAGGGTGAGGGTAGGGCAAAGGCGGGCTTGGGGTCTAGGATGGGACATGCAGGAGTCAGGGCAAGGTCATTGGTAGTCAGGGTCAGGCCTGTGTCCATCTGGGGATGGGAGTCTGAGTGGGTCTGGGATGGGGGGACATTACAGGGCTATGACTGGGGTTAGAAGTGGGTTTAGGGGAAGATCTGGGGTGGGGTGCGTTCGGGGATGTGGGCATGGTTTCAGCTGAGGCTGTGGTTGGGGTGGCAGTGGGCCCGCTGTGGTGGCCCTCGGAGGCTCACCTCTCCGGCGTATCAGGAGCTGGTAGAGGTGGCCTACCCCTTCCAGGCTGGAGTGCTGGGTGGCCCTGTCCGGGTCCTGGCACAAAATCCCCAGCATGCCCACCAGCTGCCCAATCCGCCTGAAGTCCTCTTTTGGCTGTGGTGAGAGTACGGGAACCAGTGACCCTACCGCAAGTCTCCGTCCTGCTGCGCAATCACACCAGCAAGGCCGGCATCAGAAATCCTCCAACTGTGTGGCAGGGCTGCGACTCAGCTCTCAGGACCGCAGGCCCAGTCTCTGCCCACCCTGCCTGGCCACTACGGTCAGCAGCCCAGGGCACACCGGGCAAAACGTAAGGGGTTGCCCAAAATTCAATAATCAAGAGAAATTATATTTTACTGCAATATTTAGAAAAATCAAACTGAAGGTAACAATTCCTGATGAACACAGTTTCAAAATTGTAAACAAAGACGGTCCGTCCCTGCACTTCCATGACCTTACCTCATCTTGCCTCACTCCCCTGGCCCTGACCCTAGTCCTGGTTTCAATAAAACTTTATTTACAACAACAGGCAGCCGGCCGGTGGCCATTTGCTGAGTGGATTGTTTTAAAACGTTACATTAAAGTATTTATCTTGACTGCGGAATGCTCTGGAGCCTGGTAAATTTTGAGCCCCAGGTGAATGCCTCGCTGCCTGACCGCAGGCCTGGTCCTATATTGTGGAAATTGATTTTGAGTAAATTGCAGGCTCTTTGAGCCCCTCTAGAGGGGTCTTCCTCGCCCTGGGAATGCCGGAGGAGTCTGCAGGGAGCTCTCCCTCGGCAGAGCACCACCCCTGCCCGTCTGCCTCCCTTAGAAAGGCTTGCACCTGCTGGGCATCAGGTAGAGAAGCTAATTTTCTCATGGCCCCGTAAGTCTCCCTACAGAATGAGTGCTGATTTTGGTGGATAAATGCAGAAGTGCTCACTCCCTGAACGTGCTGACATTCATTCAACCCAAGGGTTATAGCGACAGATGGCAGTTAGGCTGCGAAATCTGACACGCTGGGGGTCAGGACGCATGCAGGGTCATGATGGATGGAGACGTTCCTGCGGTCACTGCTGACCCTGGACTGGGGCAGGCAGCACCTCATCTGATTCCCAGTGTATCCCTCTGAGGAGGGCTCACTTCCTCCCTTTTCATGGGCGAGAAACTGAGGCTCAGGGCTTGGAAGAACCTGCCCAAAGCTTCAAGGAGCGTTGTCAGGAGCCCAGCCTCCTGGGTCAGGGGTCCAGGCATCTGGGTTCAGAGCCCAGCCGGGAGGACTTGAGCAGGGGACCCCAACCTCCGCCCCCAGCCTGTTCCCTCGCGTGTAAAAAGAGGGATTACATGTCCGTGTTGTAGGGCACTCAGGGATCCACCCGTCCTGGGGGCAGAGGTCCAGGGGGCCTTGAGCCCCACAAGCCTGTCAGGCTCCAGGAGGAGGACGGCTTGGCTGGGGCAGCAGAGGGGGTGTGGGGTCAGAGGGCTCGATACTCACGTCCAGGTAGGGGTTGTGGCTCAGGAATCTGAGAAGGGCCATGCAGCTGTGCACAGCCCGCTGCCGCTCGTGTGCCTTCTCCGACTTCAGCCAGAGGTACAGGTGCTGCAGGTGGGCAGGGGTGGGGAGGGGGTGCTGCAGCCGCGCACGCCTGCTCGGGCCAGCTCCGCTGAGCCACCGCGGCATCAGCGGAGTGCACCGGGCTTGGCTCAGGCCCCGCCCCCTTGGCCGGTCCGATCAAGGCTCCGCCTTGCCGAGGGCCAGGCCACGCCCTCACCCGGCCGGGGCCCCAGCTCAGGCCCCGCTCACCTTCGACTCAGGCCCCACCCACCCGCGGGCAAGGCTCCGCCCCCTGGGCCCACCACGCCCCCTGTCCTGCCCTCCGCGTCCCTTCGCACTGCCTGGGCTGATCTGTGCTCCTGGCAACCCGGCTCCGGAGGAGGAGGAGGGATTCCCTGCTCAAAGCCCTTCGAGGCTCCTGGTTTTTAAGTGGAGCCATGCACCCCTTTTCAAAGCAGTGCTTTTCTGTGCACAACATAAACGCACAGAATTACAAAAGGATACCAACACATACTGAAACAGTTATACTGAACAAATTTAAGCCCAACTTGAGCCTCTTTGTTAAAGCGATAGATGATTACATTTAGTGATTCTGAAGGCGGAAGCAGTAAACGGTATTTGGAGATTCTGGGGCCCAGCAATGTCCCATGACCACATCTGTGACTTCCGCTGGTGGCAGACGCAGCCACTCCCGGCGCTGCTGTGGTTTGTCACCAACATTCCCAGTGGGAATGAGTGAGTGAAAATGCAGGTATCTCCCCCCAGCCAGGCTCACACCTCGACTTCCATCTGTGCACCTGCTTCAGCGGCTCCCCTCACCCCCACAAGGCCTCTAGGCTGGACAGGGTCTGGCCCTGCTGACCTGACCCAACCCTAGCCCACCTGGCCCCCACCTTAGCACCCTCCCCATGCTCTGTCCGCACAGAGCTCTCTCCGTTCTGGCCCCTGTGCTCACCACCTTTGACCCTGCCACGCCCTCTGCCCGCTCTGCCCTTCCTTTCCTTTCTCCATCCAGTGACCTCCACTGGCCCTGACCTCCGACCCTCCCAGCAGAGCCAGTGTCCCCTCTCTGGTTCCTCCCCTGGCCCCGGACTGTCCCTGCTTGTTGACTGGTCTCCCTCCTATCCAGGTGAGAGCCCTGGAGGGCAGTGAGAGAGTGGGGGTGTTGGGTTGGGAACCCCTCCTCACAGCTGGAGACATGGCTGCAGAGCGAGTTCTCTGGGAGGGAGGGCAGGTCCCAGCCAGGGTCAGGGCCTGTGTCCTCATCCGTTTCCTTGAAATGTGGTGCTCAGGGCCCACTTACCACCATGCGCACCTGCTATACCACCCTCCAGTTGTCCCAAGCCACTGCAATCCCTGAAGATGGACAGCCCTTAAGCCTGTGTGTTCCTGGACCACTCCCCACCCCAAGTTCAGGCCCTGCTCCTCTGGGCCATCTTCCTTTGTCCACCCTCCGCCCTCCTGGGCCGCCCCCACCCCCGCACTGTGGGGCAGCTGGCCCTCACCGACAGCAGGAAGTGCAGCTCGTCGGCCGTGGGGTTCTGCATGATGAAGCTCTGCAGCATCTGGTCCAGGGCCTCCGAGGTCTTGTTGTAGAGGGTCTGTGCAGGGATGCGGAGCAGGTCAGGCAGCCGCTGAGCCCCAGCTGCGATGGAGTGCCAAGGCCTGTCGCAGGGCCTGAGTGCACGGGTCTCTCAGTGAGAGTGGCGCCCATTCCTCACATTCCCAAGGCCAGAATTGGGCAGGGGGCAGTCTGGGTCAGACCTGCCCAAGGTCACAGGTTTCTCAGTGACCAAGGTAAGTTCATTCCCAGCAGGGCTGCCTTCTCGGGCCTGCAGCCTGCCAAAGACCTGGTGCCCAGAAGGATCTACTTGGTTTAATGCTTTGTGGTCCCATCTTGAAATTCTTCATCAGCTTTAAACAAGGGCCCACATTTTCATTTTGCATTAGTTGTGGCAAATTATGCAGCTGGTCCTGACTATTGGGTCTCACGTGAGACACCCCCAATCTTTGCTGCTTGGCTCCCCAGGCATGCTCAGGGAGGGAGGGGGCCACAGAAAGTACCCAACCCACCTCCCTGTCAGAGTGTGTTGGAGCAAAGCCCTGGGTACAGGCCATCAGCTCCCTGGGTGCCCTGGGGACCTCGCTTCAGCTCTCTGTGCCTACCTTTGTCACCTGAGACCTGCGCGTGAAGCCAGCCCCACCTGCCAGGGTGGTGATGCACACTGAATGGGAATGAACAGGAGCCCCAGCCTGGTGTCTGGCACCAGGCTAAACTCCCTAGGTAAGCCAGCCATGATGTTGCCATCTGGTAATGGGGGCGCTCTGGACTCCTGCGGGGTTGGGGTGGGGGCAGGTGCCAGCCTTCTGGGGGGTGCTGCTGTGGTGTTGCCCTGGGTCCAGGGACCCTTTGCACTCTCACCCCCCACCCGACGTGCTTATCTGCCCCATTCCAGTCTGGACCCAGCCTAGGGGTGTGGTGTGAAGATCAGGGCCCAGGGGGCAGGGGTGAAGTTCGACCCTGACTCTCCCACCAGACAGCTCCATTTCTCTGAGCTGGTTTCCTCACCCTCTGGACGAGTGCTGCTGGGAGGGTGAGCGAACATATATACGGGACCTGGCACATAGCAGGTGCTCAGCTAACACTAGTTCTGTGCCCTTTACAGTGAACACTTAGGCGTCAGGGGCTGGCGGTGCTCCGGGGAGATGGGTACATGCCCCCTGCAGCAGAGGCTTTTTTAAACAGATCCCCGGAGGGGGCTGGATCTGGCCCAGCAAAGGGTGGGCCGGCTGGGGCCTGGGTGGGTGTGACTAGTTTAAGCAGCTTCGCAGATGCAACTGAGCCCAGGGCTGGCAGGGACAAAGGCCACTCACACTCCTGTTCACAGAACCCTCTGCACAGATGCGGGACACCAGTGTCTACTTTCATCCCGAGCTTCACGTACCGTCAGCTCCACAGTTATCACCCCCGTGTCCCAGGTGGGCAAATAGAGGCTCAGAGCGGTTAAGAAACGTGCCCAGGGTCTCCCTCCCCTGTCTATAGGGGTCAAGGGCCCTGGCTGTCTAGCCCACACCCCCTCCCAAGCCACGAGCAGCAGTGGGCTGAGCTGGGCCCCTCTCACTGAAGGGCACCATGCGCCAGCTTCGCACCTGTATGTTGGGTGGCTCTAGAAAGAGACAGGTGTGTTTCTCCAGGACATCTAGCAGTGGCAGGGCCAACACGCTGTGGAGGCAGACGGACAGAATCCGTGACTTCCTCTCCAAGTCCAGGGGCGGCCGCAGCTTACTGTTTGGGGGTAGAGGGCAGTGAGGGAGGGGTGTGGGGGCTGGTGATGGCAAAGGGCCACCTGCCGGAATAGACAGTTGGCGAGCGCTGAGCTGCAGCCCCTCACGCAGTTCTGCTCTTGACCAGAGACTCAAGGGAACACTTCTGCCTCCCGGGCCTGCAGGGCCTCCTGGGCGGGTGAGTTCCACGAGTGCGTGTACGGGACTAGCGTGGCCTGCTTGGGAGCAGTCGCTTCACAAGCCCTGTACCCTGGGCTCCCCTTTACTGGACAGACTGGTCTCACCCCAGCCCTGGTTACACCACTGGGAACTTCAGCGGCTCAGTTTTGACAAATGATGACAAATTTTTGTTCTTTGAGGTGTGAGTTAATAGCAGTGGCCACGGTTTACTGAGGGCCTGTTACAGGCCTGCAGCAGGGTATGGGCCTGTGTGGGGCTGGGGCGCCTACCAGAGGCTGGAGACGATGTGAATGGTCTGCTGGCGAGTTGATGTACACAGCGTGTCCCGGGGTTCCTTCTCCATCAACACCTGCAGATCCCCAGGTGAACCTGAGTCATTCAGGCCCGGGCCTACCCCACTTCTGATACCCCGTGTCATCCTGCCTGAAGACCTCGGTGCCTGGCACTGCTGCGACCCACAGGATTGTGCTCCAGCTTCTCCCCCAGCCTGTGGGGGCCTCCATGACCTGAACTAGATCACAGCCTTTAGAAGGGCTCAGGTCATGTCTGGACCCTGGCTTCCCGCATACTGGCTGCGTGACCTTGAACATGTCTCCAAACTGCTCCAAGCCTTGCGGTTCACAAGTAACATAGTGTTGTTGCCCAGGCAGGGGGTGCAGAGTGCAGTGTCTGAGTCAGGAGGAGCTCAGTAAATTGTTATTTTATTATTACAGTTCTGACTGTCCATCACTTGAGTGCTTCCTCCACTACTCTGGGGTTCTGTGAGCCCCACATCTCTAGTGAGCAGTGGTCTGAGCTAGGGCAGAGTATTAGCAGAATGGATGGTGCTGGCTTTCTGGGCCTCAGCTACATCAGCTGTGAGGTGGACATCCCTCGCCAGCGCAGGGTCACTGAAGAGCCAAGAGAAGTGGGGGGCACGGATGTGCTCCCAGCTGCCAGAGCCTATGAGGGGCTTAGTCACACCCCAGAAATCCACTTCCCCACCTCTTTGCAACACCTGCCTCTAGTGGATGCTACGGGTCCTGTGAAGCCCTCTCTCTGCCCCAGGGCCTTGACTCACCATCAGACACTCGAGGAGCTCAGAGATCTGGGAGAACTCATAGCTGTGGGCCCCCTCATTGCGGCTGATGGCCCCCACCAGCATGAGGACAGCAGTGAGGAAGCTCTGCTTCAGGGTCTCATCCTGGGATGGGGTCAGGCCATGGAACGGGGGGTGTGGGGGGGCACAGGAAGGGCAGGAGAGAGCCACAGTCACATGTGGCTGCAGGGCATTGCTGAGGGGCTACAGCAGAGACCTCGTCTGGGGCCACATATGTGGGGCTTTGGTGGGGGGGGAGCCTGTGTGGTTTTGTTTAAATTGTGAATATGTTGACAACATTTCAACATCAGGAGAGTGTTGAAAGAAGCCCAATATTTGGCTTCTCTCTTGATGTGTGGCACCTCAGAGCCCAAAGATCTGGGGTAGGCAATGGCATCACAGGGCTGCCTGGCCCTCATGGCTCCCTTGGGTGGACGCCCCAGGTACAGAGTATAGAGTAAGGGGAATGTCGTCCCAGGGGTGGGGTGGGGAGTTTCCTGGCCTTCCAATGCCCCAAAGTGAAAACCACCGAGAATGAGGGGCTGGGGTCATCATGGAAGCCCCTCGTGGCTTTGGCGGGGGGTGATGGGGTTACTAGGTGGGGCAACAAGGAGGCCAGGCCTGGCTCTTCCTGACTCCAGAGTGGGGCAGAAGTGGGGAGGAGGGCTCCAAGGCCCTGGAAGGTCCTAGAATTCTCTGACCCAGGTCCTGGTGAGGCCTGGGCTGTGACGAGGCTGCGCTCCAGAGGGGTGGCCCCGGGGAGCCGTACCCAGGAGCTATAGTGGAAATAGAAGACCATCCGAGACAAGATGTTGTCCACCCACGGGAGGATGTGCGCCTTGGCCCTGACCGCCATCTGACCGTAGGCGAGGAGGATGGTGCTGCTGGCCCACTTCCATTGCAGGTCCTCTGAATTCTGACCACGGCAGGGGCAGATATGGAGTGTCAGGGCCCTCCTGACCTCTCCCCTGGGGGAGCGGTGACAGGAAGTACTCTGGACCCTAGCACGGTACTGCAGGCACAGTGTTCTGAGTGGTGGCAAGACTCAGTTTACCTCAGTAGGAAAATAGGGAAGATGAAGTTGTCTCTCTGGGGGGTTGGAATGGGCCTGTGGGGTTACCCAGAACTGGCCAGAGTCCCAGCCCCTCACCCTCCCTGCCTTGTGGTAGCCCCCTCCCCGGGAGCCTGGGGCCCTTCTCCCCCCTGCTTCCCCCCTCGGGCTACTGGGGGCCTGGCAGGGTCATGCCTCAACCTAGAGAGATGGAAATGGGGCACTCCTTCGGATCTGAGGGAGACCCAGAGAGCGGGGGCGGGGGCATCTGAGACACCCTTCAGATGCCACCTGAGGAGCACATGGCTCCACTGCCCATCAGGGCCCAGGCCCCCTCTGAGGGTTTGAGATGTGGGTCCCAGTCCCTGCTCGGCCACCTGCCGGCTGTGGGACCCCGAGGAGGCGGCCAGCCCTTTGCTGGGCTGACTGTTGCCAGCTGTGACTCTTCCCCGCTTGTCCTAGAGGGCTCCCTCATGCAGTCCTGCTGCTGCCCGCAGGAGTGATCGGGGAGGACAGGCCATCCATCAGCAGGGGCACAGGCTCTTGTCTGTTGTTTCAGGCAGGGCACGTGGCCAGAGACCCATTAATAAACAGCCGCCGCCACAGCCCCTGAGAGAGCTGTCACCGGAGCCCCTGCTGTAGGCCAGGCCCTTCAAAACCGTGGCCTGTTTCCATCCCAACAGCCGGGGGGTGGGGATTGTTATTCAGGAGGAGAAACTGAGACATGAGGGGCACACTGCAGGTGGGACTGGAGGCCAGGATGCTTGCTGCAAAGCCTATGCCCCTAACTATCCCAGGAGACCCTCTTGGATGCCCAGACCTTCATGGAAGGTGGGAGTCCTGATGTTCCAGCCCTTTGCTGAGGCCCCCAACAGCCCAAGGGCCAGAACCTTCAGGCAGAAGCTGTGGAGGCTCCATTTAACGGGCGTGCTCCGGCCAAACTGCTCCAGGACGGCCCAGACGTGGTCCAGGTGGCGCACTGCGGCCAGCCCTATGGTGAGCGCGATACCCTACAGGAGCAGGGGAGCAGGGTCACCGATGCGGGTCACACAACCAGGCCTGGACTCTCACCAGGGTCACAGGGCATCTGCCTCCCATCCCCATGCTCTTTAGGACATGCAACTCTGAGCCCAACCCTGGGGGGGCATCTCTTATGGGGCTGGTGGATGGTGTGGGAGGCAGCAGGGAGGGGTGACTCCCTGGAGACCTGTTATCTCGCTCTGCCCCCACTAGCTCTGAACAGACCTGGGCCAGAGGAAGAAATGAGAGTCCAGAAAATAGATGTGTGATGAAGGAGAGGACACAAGCTATGATGGGCTCAGCGTGTGACCAGGGTCAGGGCTCAGTGTGGACCAGGGTCAGGGCTCAGAGTGAGACCGGGATCAGGGCTCAGAGTGTGGCCAGGATCAGGGCTCAGAGTGTGGCCAGGATCAGGGCTCAGAGTGTGACCAGGGTCAGAGCTCAGAGTGTGACCAGGGTCAGGGCTCAGAGTGTGGCCAGGATCAGGGCTCAGAGTGTGACCACGGTCAGAGCTCAGAGTGTGACTAGGGTCAGGGCTCAGAGTGTGGCCAGGATCAGGGCTCAGTGTGGACCAGGATCAGGGCTCAGAGTGTGACCGGGTTTGGGGGGTCAGAGTGTGAGCCAGGATCAGGGCTCAGTGTGGACCAGGATCAGGGCTCAGAGTGTGACCAGGATCAGGACTCAGAGTGTGACCAGGATCAGAGCTCAGAGTGTGGCCAGGATCAGGGCTCAGAGTGTGACCAGGATCAGGGCTCAGAGTGTGACCAGGGTCAGAGCTCAGAGTGTGGCCAGGATCAGGGCTCCGAGTGTGGCCAGGATCAGGGCTCAGAGTGTGGCCAGGATCAGAGCTCAGAGTGTGACCAGGATCAGGGCTCAGAGTGTGGCCAGGATCAGGGCTCAGTGTGGCCAGGATCAGGGCTCAGAGTGAGACCGGGATCAGGACCCAGAGTGTGGCCAGGATCAGAGCTCAGAGTGTGGCCAGGATCAGGGCTCAGAGTGTGACCAGGGATCAGGGCTCAGAGTGTGACCGGGTTTGGGGGGTCAGTGTGTGAAAAGGATCAGATTTCTTCATATGACCTGATCAGGGCTCAGGGTATAACCAGGGATCAGGCTAAGGCTGAAGTCAGGGTCAGGCAGCCCTGGGCTGTGCTTGGGGGGGGCAGGGCCTCACCTCCCTCTGCTTGGGCCACTGGTGGGACGTGTCCAGGAGCGTTCTCACGTGTGTCCTGACGGTGGTGCTGTTGTCCTCAGCTTGAAGGATCAGCCCGTAGTAGATGAACAGAAAAGCCTGGGGGAGGTTCAGCTTCTTGTCCTGGGCCTGAGCCACTTCTGTCCACCCCGATGGCCAGCCTTCTCCCCTGACCAGGCTCCCCCAGCCTCCCTGGGCTCCTGTAGCTGCCCTCACGACCCTGCTCTGGGATCATCAGGCCCCTGCCTGGTGGAGTTTCAGGGGTGCAGCTCCAAGTCCCCCTGTTTCCTTTGGGTCCCAGTGTCTTTCTAGGGCCCTGGGCCTTGCTTTAGGTGTACATCCTATGGACAGAGCCCTTGGGCCTGCGTGGTGGGGAGACAGGGTGTGGTCCACCTTCTCTGGGGGCTGCTCCTGATGTGTCCGGTCAGGCTTGGTGAGTGCCAACAGCAGCTCCTTGGACCACACGTCTGTGTTCAGGAACTGGACCGACTTGACAGCCATCTGTGAGCAGAGGGGTGTGGGCAGGGCTGGAGCGCTCCCTCCCTCCACCCTGCGGGCTAGAGCTGAGGCCTCCACTTGCCCCGGCCCGCCCTGGCCACTTAGAGCCCTGACTGCATCATTCTCTTGCTTTGCTTCCCCTGAGTCTCCAGGGCCAGCCCTCTGATTTGCTTGATAGCCCTCAGGAGTGGGGATCTCATTCCTTGAGATTCTCCTCCCTGGAGGTGTTCAAGGAGACGCTGGAACCCAGGAGCCTGCCCGTGTCCCCGGCCCTGGGCAGAGACTCAGACATCACAGATGTTCAGTGTCAGCTGAAGGTGGCCCGGCCAGAGTGTGGGTGCCGGGAGAGCAGGGTCTGTCACCTCCGTTCCACGCTGTCTCCCTGGCACCTGGCAAAGTGCCCGACATGTAGTTGATGCTTGATCAGTATTGTTTGGAATGAATGAATGAGAGATCAAATAAACAGATGAATTGTCTCTTCTAAATATAAAGTCCTAGAAGTTTTGCCCTAACATGTGATGACCACAAGATTTCTCTAATTCCCAATGTTCCCAGATTCCACAGTTCAACAATTCCAAGATTTTGATCCTAAGGTCCTTCGGGATGGAGATACTCCTCCTAAGTTTGATCCCAAACCCAAAAATCTTTATCGAAGAAATGATTGATAAATGTGAAGATAAATATTTTAAGAAGTTTGTTCAGCAAAACCACCATAAATTAAGTTGAAAGATGCAGTAAGTTGTTTTTGTTGGCTTGTTTTTTTGTTTTCCTGCAACCCATTGTCAAGGGTTAGTATAAGTGATAAAGAGCACTTCACAAATCAGTAAGGAACTGGGGACAATCCACTTAGGACGAAAGCACACATGCATGACAGACATACTATACACTCAGGCTTGCTCATATTTAAGGAGTGGAAATTAAGATAATGTATCATTTTGGCTAAGACTGGCAAAATATAAAACTGCCCAGTGTCAGCGGGAAGTGTCCTTTGGTGAGAAGGTCTACATTTTTTTTGGTGAAGATTTTGGCAGCATCGGTAACAGTTTAAAGTGTGTGTGCCTTTCCCCAAGCAATTCCATTTCTAGGAATTCATCCTAAAGGAGCACTAATAGGTACCGAGGTTGCAACACAAGCAGCCTTCCTGAACCTTCCTGGGTCCTTTGGCGCCCTCTCTGGTGATGCTTTCTGGGGCGGGGGGTGGAAACTGCCCTGGGCTTGTGGCAGAGTCTGGAGGAGTTTGTCTGCCCCAGTTTTGCCCCGTGTCTGCAGGATGCTGGGATGCAGCAGGGCCTGATGGCTACTCCCTCCCCCAACCCCCGCCAGCCACCGCCCCCAGGACAGGTGTCAGCCTCTTAACCCCCTTTGCCTGATTCACCCACCCTCCCAACCCCTCCCCTCTGCAGCCACCAGAGTTCTGGTGGTTCTCTGTATTCAGGAGTCCGGTTTTTTGTTTGTTTGTTCATTTGTTTTGTTTCTTCAATTCCACATATGAGTGAAATCATATGGTATTTGTCTTTCTCTGACCCACTTATTTCACTCAGCATAGTACCCTCTACATCCACCCATGTTGTAAGTGGCAGGATTTCATTCTTTTTTATGGCTGTGTAATATTCCACTGTGTACATCTACTACACCTTCTTTACCCATTCATTTATGGATGGACACTTGGGCTGCTTCCATATCTTGGCTCTTGTAGATAATGCGGCAATGAACATAGAAGTGCATGTATCTTTTCAAATTAGTGTTTTTTGTTTTCTTTGGATAAATACCCAGTAGTAGGACACCTGGATCATATGGCACTTCTATTTTTATTTTTTTGAGGAAGCTCCATCCTGTTCTCCAGAGTGGCTGCACCAGTTTGCATTCCCACCAACAGTGCATGAGAATTCCCTTTTCAGCACATCCTCGTGAACAGACTTGTTATTTCTTGTCTTTCTGATAGTAGTCAACATTCTGACAGGTGTGAGGTGGCATCTCATTGTTGTTCCAATTTGCATTTCCCTGCCGATGAGTGATGTTGAGCATCTTTTCATGGGACTGTTGGCCATCTGTGTGTCTGGGTTTTGAATATTTTTATTGAGGCATGTTTAATGGAAGGCATAGATCTTTACCGTGGGGCACGATGCACTTTGACAAACGTACAGACCCACACAACTCTCGCCCTACCAAGAACTAGAGCATATTCCACCAGCCCATAAAGCTCCCTCACACGCCTTCCTAGTCAATCTCCATCACTACAGAACTTTCACTGACATCACCGTTGTCTAGTTTTGCGTTTTCTAGGACATCATACACTTGGAATTCTGCAGGCGCACTCTGTGTGCCTGGTGTTTTCAGCATGTGTCTGCCGGGCCTTCGTGGTGCCGCACGGGTCAGAAGTCCAGTTCTCTCTGCTGCGATTTCTATCATTCCCTGTCCCCTGCGTCGTTTCTTCCACTTGCTTTTCATTCTCCAGCTTCTTCAGGGGGAGGCTTATAGACGGACTTATGGTTGTTGGCTGGGGAACTGCTCTGCTGGCATGGGCTGTCTCCAGTTTGAGGCTGTTTGGCGCAAGGCCTCTGGAGGGCTGCGGGCCCTGAGCCCCGCCCTCTGCGCCGAGTCCCGCCCTTTGTGCTGAGCCCCGCCCCCTCTGCACTGACCCCGCCCCCTCTGCATGAGCCCCGCCCTCTGCGCTGAGCCCCGCCCTCTCTGCACTGATCTCTGCTTTCTGCCCTGAGCTCCAGTCTCCCTGGCACCCTACTTGCAGCCCCCTTTCGCTTGGAAGCCCAGTCCAGTCTCCAGACCTCAGTTTTGGGGTCTGCCGGTCGGGTCCTTCCCCAAGTCCCTGCTTCCAGGCCGGATGGGTGGTGGCCTTGGTCACTGCTCTTGTGTGTGTGCGTCTTGTTTTGTAGACAAAGGCTCCTGCTAACTGGGCCCTCGGAACCAAAAAGGCTCAAGAATTGGTGGGCACGGTCGAGTACTTAAAAACTATTACGGCGTTTGCCACCTAATTCCGACTCTTGTGTTAGGATCAGTTGGTCACAGAATGGGTTACATGGACACTAGGTCACCTGCCAACCTCAAGAAAATTTCCACGTAGTGAGGCGCACGGTAGAACAGGCAGGATCCCCAACCTCACAGCATGTCTCGCTTAGGTATTAGTTTGGCTCTGAGAAACCCCCAAAGGCTTAGCTAAACAAGGAAGAAGAAAAAGAACAAAAAGAATGAGATCCTTAAACCCCAAAGAGTCAAGTGCACCACTTTCTACCACACCCGCTTATTTTATGTCTAAGAACTAGGGTCCCAGAGCTATAAATATCTGCAAAAATGGCAAAATCTTACTAAAAACAGCCTAAAATTACAATGGCCATTATGAGGAAGATTCCAATGAGACAGGATCGTTTATTTCAGAAGTGGACTTGAGAACAAGGTTTCCCAGACTAAACAAACAGAAAGGGATACCTAGTTTAATTGCGATGCGGAAGCTTCTAAAAGGCTTCACGATCCCAGAAAAGCTTCAAAGATTCATTGCAGAAGGCTAATGAAAAACGAGAGACACAAGAGGTGCCTAAAACAAGACACTGGGATTGACGTGACTCCTTGGGCTCACTCCTTCCTCCTTGACCCGAGATCTCACACTCTCCCGACTCTGCAGAGACCATGGCACAGTTACCTTTAAAAATAAAACCGCTGGAGGCTCAGGGATCTTCCTCAGCATCTTTTATTCCTTGGTCAAAGGCCAAACTAAGGGCAATCGTTAAGGAATTTCCTAGATCCAGGGAGGGTCCTCAAAAATTCTCTGAAGAATTTAGATTTCTTACCCCGGGGTGCCAGAACTTTGTCAGTGGTGCACCTGCTGGTGGAGGTGGGAAGCCCCGAAGTGGAAGCTGAGGCAGGATGGTGTCACCTGAGGATGTTATTCCGGATCCCCAACCTTCAACAGGGTCCCCTCAGGGGCTACAAAAAGCAGCGACCTTTCCCAAGCTGTTCCTAGAGCTCTCCCGGGCCACAGCGATTGCAGTTACTCAAATGTGCCGATGATGGACGGGTCTGTGGCCGACTTTAAAGTCTGCCTGGAAGGTCCCTTCCTCTGGCGTTCCTCAGTTCAGACAATAACCAAGGGCACCCAACGTGTTCTAGCTGCCCTATTTGTACGTGGAGCATGTCCTAACATTAGGGGATTGATAAAAAGACACAAAATAGGATGGGAGGCCATGGGTCTGACCGAACTCACGACAGCAGCTGAGCACTTTGAAAAGATGTGGAAGCAAGGTGGCAAACAGAAGTCTACCAAGCCGTTGACCTGACAGCTGCAGGGGCCCCGGGGTTAGGGACCTGGAATAACAGCTGGGCTCCTGGGACTGCTGTCTCTGCTGTAATCGGCTGGGCGCTGGAGAGTTGTCCCCACAGTCCCCATGGGGACTGCCCATACCACATCACATGTCCCTGGGCCCACCTAATTCCCCAACCCATGCGGGCCTCCCAGGCTGATGGGGCTCACGGGGTTCTCCGAACTCAGCAACCCCCTTAAACTAAAATTAAATTAGTGGGAAGCCTTGCCAAATTCTGGTATATCCCAGAACTACAGTCTCTCCCAGGACAGCAAATTCCTCAGAGCGAGGAAGGTTTCCATAGTGAGGGCATCTGATCGAGTTCAGAGGGAGTTTCTTTCTCAGCCAGAGACCTTTCCCTGGAAAACGTTTTTTGTTGTGCGATGTAGCCTCCGTCAACCTGTTCAGTAGAAACCTTTCTAAATTCAAAGGGCTAATATGTTTTGACTCCATTGGAGACCTCGCTTTAGAATTTCCTGACCAACCTGAAACCTTCATGTTCTTTACAAGCTGTCCTTTTCATAGAAGAGGAGGAATTTCAACAAAAGTCGCTTAATTTATTACTGAGGTACCTGAAAATCTGTGGGCCACCTCTAATACTGACACTGGGAGAAGAAAAGTAAAGAGCCTATAAAGATTCACATAGACATAACTACGTTTCTTCCCAAATTGCTTCGACACCCACTGAAGCCC